TGTAGGCCTATCGGTATCTAATTTACCTTTATTTTTACTTTATCTTCTTCGCCACTGATCGGCTCGTTAACCGCTCGGTCACGTCTTTGTTGCACACTGTTGGTAAATACTGTATTGGACATGTACTGGCTCAGCCTCCAGGATGTATCTGTACAGACTGGTCTTGAAAGAGCTCGCAGTGACTCGGTGCTCTGACAACACTCTCTGGCAGATTATTCCCAAAGTTTATAATTCTCACTCCCAAAAAATTTGCTCTCCCAATTTTCTGGGTGGCTTTGTGGGGTACGTGATATTTGGGTTCACACTCAGGATGGGATGGAGAAAGGAAACTCACAATGTGCTCTCTGTATACATGTTGTATTGGATGTACAGTGCAGCTTGGTGCTGGGAAGGCAGCATGGTTACATGCGTGATGTAGAGAGAGCTGGTTGGTGGGGATGCTCAGAAGAGGACCAGCTTGTGGGTCGCCATGCTCGCTGGCGGGAGCGAGGGCCGCCAGGCAGGAGCGGAGGAGGTGGTGTTACTTGAAGATTGGCTGTAGGTAGAAAAAGAGGTAGGTCACCACGAGGTCAGGTCTTATATAGCGGAGGTAGGCGTGGCTTAATAGTTGACCTCCGTCATGTAAGGCGGCGCTGGTTGACCTGGACCACGAGGCATACACTGGGGAATTCGCGGGGTCGGCTACTCAGCGACAAGCGTTTGTAGGGGAGGAATCCACTACAGCCTTAACCTAAAGCTGTGACCTCTAGTGGGTCGGGCGTCCACCACCTCCAGGTATAAACACTCGACTGAGTAAGTGTTCTCTGAGATGCTTGTAAACTTCAATTACGTCATCCCTTGCACGATATAGTATAAACTAGGCAGTTGCAGGCGTTCTAATCTCTCTGGGTAACTGAGGTGCCGTAACGCAGGCACCAGACTCACTTTTGGACATTTTCAATCAACTCTTGAAGAGCGTTACGAGGGACGGACCATTTAGATATCTAAACGACCTTCTTACAAGACCTAATAATTTATTTGATTCACCTTCTCAAAACGGCCCGAGAACTTTAGCTCATTGTCAACATACACACACACTGGTCCTTTTCACATTCGGTCTGTTAATGTTATTTCTTTATCCCGTTGGGAATCTAGCAGCCCCAGCATATTTCATCTGAAGATTAACCATCCCAACTTATTTCACCCGAAGGTTAGGCACCCTAATTTATTTCATCAGATGAATAAACAAGATAACCTAAGAAGACTGTAGTGGATACTCTCCTCTACAACTGCTGATTGGTCACTTGCCGTCCGCTCCTCAGCCAACCAGCGGCGAGTTCCACAAATCAGCCCTCACTTTCGAACTGCGCGGTGATTGGCCAGTTGTCACCTTCATCTCAGCCATTCAGCAGCATTTTCCATCTTCACACTTCGAGTCTTGATTCGGCAGAATCATATAAATACCCCCTGCCTCGCCGTGAGACCGGAAGACCTGCCTTCTCTCAGCTGCGTTTTCGGTTTATCGAGCATTAGTTTGCCTTCCCCACTGGCATCACACGATACCCACCGCCCAGATAGCTTAGGAAGTATAATAATTTTAGACAAAAAAAACAAGACGATTTTAATCTAGAACACTTTTGGCACGTTTTACCCATTAGCGAGATATCGGGAATTGAAAAATCAGATGACTACGGAAAAAAATTAAGCGGTTGCGATAAAAGGCATTTTTTAACGACCTATTAATAAGTTGAGACAAAAATAAGACGAATTTCTTCTATGAAACTTTTCTCTAAATTTACCCATAACTGAGTTATGAGGTTGATATCAAAAACCAAATCTCCATAATCTTGCCTAACCATTAAACTCCACCTGCCAGACCCCGCATATTAATTATCTCGGTTCTAAGTCGTTTGCAAGGGAAACGTCATATTAAAAAAGTGTCTTATTAGAATTGACTAAACTATTGCTTACAAAGAAAAATCCAGAGATTCGGTTGGTGGCAACAATCATGCAAGGGCGGATCCAGAGGGTCCAGACCCCCCCTTTCACCAGAAAATTCCAGTACTTGTTCTTTAATGCAGTATTGTACTCAGGCGTTTTTTGTATAATAAATGGTATTTTCTATTGACTTCAGAATATCTCCTAATATCAAGTGCACGTGGCTTCAAAATGGCCTCAAAATGCTCGTGATATTGGTCAGATCTCAAAAAAAAATTCTACTGGCGTACAGCGCCTTCTCCCTCCCCCATCCCCCCATCTGGATGGTCTCTCTGTGCTTGCCATGTTCCCCCACCCACAACTTCTTGGACCCCCCCCCCTTTTGATATTATTGGATCCGCCCCTGCAATGCAATAATAGCTTTTCTACTACTGTAGCTTTCCAAACTTCAACTCCCGATATCTCGGTAAATGGGTTAAATGAGCTAAAATTAGCTAAAAGTGTCATGGATGAAAATCATCTCGTTTTTGTCTTAACTTATTATTAACAACAACAACAATAAAGACAATATCGAATTATGTCCTCTACTTAAATAGACAGGATAATTTATCGGAGATGAAATAATTAGGGCGTCTAGACAGTAATGTTTGCAATGGTAGGAGACTTTAACTTTGGTCACATGGACAAAACCTTATCAGTAACGTGGACATAAAGGGAGCGAGTGAGGAAACACTGACCATAAAGATATAATATTTGCGACTTTAAGGTGAAACAAGCAGAGGGGAGGTTCCATTAATTGTACAGAAGTGTACTTTTTTTTCCTGAGGGATTAGCCCACCAGGGCACAGGTAAATGACCCACATCAGGACCTGGGGGCGAAAATATGATAATAATAATAATAATAATAATAATAATAATAATAATAATAATAATAATAATGATAATAGTGAAAACAATAATAAAGAACCATAAAATAAAAAATCAAGACTGAGAAATGATATATGGATGTTGTGTTGTCAAAGTAAGAAAAGCAATTGAGACCCTGCAATTGTGTGTAAATGAGGCAGAAAGTCAGATCAGCAACCTGGGACTTGGTCACAATTTTTGTGATGCCATATGGCAGCAGGGTCTACCATTAGACAACACATTAAGCTTCCAATATCTTCCCAGGCGGTAGTACCTCCCTGATTGATAGCTGCCTACTACCTACTACCCCACTTAAAGACTGAATGACCTTATCAGAAGTGGCATCTTGCAAAGCAGCTAATGATCCATCCATACCCACTGTTGTAGGTCTCACCTACCCCACCTGATGATGGCCACGGTATGACGCAGTGAGAGTGTTGTTGCCTCCTCTGTGAGAGAGATGAAGATGGAGTCTACAGGACACAGTCATAGTGCCGCCACCACTGACACACCAGCAACCTCACCGTCACCTCGGTTCGGTGAACAAATTTATTGGCAAAACTTTAAGTACAGTTTGCCTGTTCTGAGTAATTCAGTCAGGTCTTGACATTGAGGGTGATATCACTGTTCACTGCCATGCAGGACAGAGGTTCATACACAAAGAAATAGATCATATTCAATAATAGTATACATACATCATATTAATGTGAGTGATATCACTATTCACTGCCATGCAGGACAGTGGTTCATATACAGTTGAGCTTCTACTTAAGTATATTTCACCAACATACTTTAGTGTTTCAAAAACCGATCGTGAAATGTGGTACTGCATTAAAAAGTAAATTAAACCCGAAATAAATAGAGAGAGAGAGCTTGGGACACAGTTGAACGAGGTAGGGGGGAAATTTAACTGCAGGAGTAATATATAAACCTCACGAATCTTGAGAGAATATAGAAGGGGAATTGGTTATTTTATAGTAGATGACATAATTCGATATTGTTTATTGTTATAAGTTCAGATAAGAACAAGACAATTTTCATCTCTGACACTTTTGGCCCATTTAACCATAATCGAGATATCGTGAGCTGAAAATCAGAAAACTACTGAAAAATTCTAAGCTTCTACAAGTAAAATGCCTACCCTCAGCCCAGTGCCCAACCTCCAAGGGGTTTTGGGGGGAAGGGTGTCTAAATAAAAAATGACCTTCACTAACTTTAACTGAAATCCATCTACTTTTGGTCTAACTTGTGCGGAAACACACACACACACACACACCGGTTGCAATACTCTCATTACTTTCGGGGTATTAAGGGGTTGAGGTAGGGGAAATGGATAAGAAATAAGTTTGTCAAAAGTTTAAGTATTGCAGTATTATTATTTTTTTTATTATTTATTGGGCACCCCCTACATCCTTGTGTAAGGTGAAGCGCAGAAGCGTTTACAGCGTCCAACAGGGAAGCATGCTAAGTTCATGCTTGCCTTATGTCTCATGAGTTGAGGGCGTAGAAGCCTGAAGAGTCAATGGTTTATGTCTAAGCAAGTTATTGGAAGCTCCAACAACTTGTCCCTGAATACGAATTCGCAACTCTCGATTTACAGCAGGTACCTACATTGCTACTAGGTGAACAGGGACCAAGGGAAACTGGGAAGTGTGTCCTAACAACTTTCCACCGGCCCGGGAATCGAACCCGTGACATCTCGCTTGCGAGGCAAGAGCGGTACCGTTCTACCAACCGGTGCCCCCGCAGTTTTATTCTTAAGGCCAAAAGAATTCTGGTCAGAAAGTCAGTGTGAGCTATTCACTTTAAACATATTTTTAGCGACATATAAATCTGGAGATATCTTTCAGCCAAATTAGATGAGAGAGAAAAAAAGACTATAACTTCCCCTTCCTCCTCTCTCCCCAACACGTGTACACACGTGCGCAGGCTCCTTTGCACGCACACAAGCAAATTCATACAACCCACTTGCAAATACAGTACATGTCATTAGAAATAATCCAATTGAAATAACGAGTACGTTGCATATGGCACCAGTTGTTAAAAGTTGTAATTACGCTTCCTGCTTGCTACTCTTGCAATGTTTCGAAAACAGAAGGAAACAAAGTTATTACGCCACACTTTCTTTCCCCCAAGTTATTATTTGTTTCCCCAGTGACCCCCTGCGTGTCCGGGGGGGGAGTGGGGGGGGGGGGACCTCCGCACCCCTCACCCCCGCTCCCGACAGATGGCAGCACCACCATGGCGGAGGACCAGGTACGCATCAAAACAATCTTATTTTTATCTTATGTATTTCATATTGTGAATAAATAATGTTACGATGACCCAACAGTCTGTAAGTGTCATTCGTAGGGAACATTATAATTTGATTTTATGAAAATTGGTGAATGAAAAGGCTACTAAATACAAGCGTAAAGAAGGGTAACCCATTTCGTCATTTTGATGTTAAACTTCGTCTGGCTGTGCAGTTGCCGTGACAGCCTGTTGTTTGGAGCCTAAACGGACAACATTGGCGGCAGAATAGAAATTGACACCATAAAATGTATGCTCCATGGAATACTTTATGTATCCATTGAATTATATATTAAAGACACGCTCTCCTAGCTTGATACTTCCCTCTCTCTGTCTGCTGTCGGGCCATAGCTTCTCACAGCTAGAGACTTAAGACGATTAAGTTTGATGCTGGTCACGTTTTCATGGTGTGGTATTTATAACAATAACATGTTTCTGATTAAATAGGTATGGTTAAAGGTTGATAATAAATTAATTAGATGATAAAAGGACGCCTGAGACCAAGGGTGTCTGGGAGGAAGCTTTTGTTGTGCAGTGTTGCTACAGGCTGTGACTTGCACCATGATGTTGATGTCCTCTTGTTAGCCTCCCAGAGCTGCTCCATCCAAGATATACTTGTTTTTGTTGGACAGCATTTTCACTGCCATTAATACAGTGAAGGTGGAGTCCCAAATTTAGTAAAGGAGAGTAAGGGAGATCTGAAAAATGGCAATTGAATTGATAAAACTTGGGTGGAGCTTTGAAGAAGAGATTAATGGGATAAGACAGAATAAGGATGAGTGTGGATAAGAGACTTGGTTAAATACAATGAAGATTCGATGAAGAATTACTTAGATCAGATTAGGTTATGTAAGACTTGGATAGGTTTAAATAGAATCAAACTTTTCCTAACAATCTGCTCACAAAACATTTACATTACACACACACAAACACACACACTAATGGATTGTGTTGATTTGATATAAACTGTAGTGACTATTGAAGCTTTATTGTGGTGAAGAGGATAAAAGTTTATCGTGGATTTTGTTGTACTGTAACTGTTGAAAAAGAGATGGCAAGAGATAGCTCACAGTATGTGGTAGTATTCCTGAAATGCCATGCAGTAAATTATTCAGTCAGTAAACAGTATGTTTTGGACAGTTTACACCAACCAATGTTATTAATGGGCATTTTAAGAAGAGGATCTCTTATACTATAAAGACTGACAGTTTCCAAATATATATATGCTTAAGCCTTGTTCCACTGCATGTTCTTTTAGTTTTAATTAAATTTTTGATTAATGAGGAGCTCTCCCACACAAAGGAAGTGAACCTAATCATAGCCTTTAATCTCTGGACCATCTTGATTGTGCACATGGTTAGTATGAGCAAATATTAGTCTTAATTGTAATATACAGTATGTACTGTATACTGTACTGTACTGCATTTAAGATTTTAGCCCTCTTTTTTTTTCTTAAGAAAATATCATGTCCTCCTGCATTAAGGTAGATAAAACATAATTTTTGTTTAAGAAGAATTGTCAGTACGTGATAGCAATATGATCTTTAACTGCTAGACTGAGGTGCCTCCTAGCAGGGCCTGGAAGGGGGGTTGTGCACCCAGTGCAAATCACAGGGCCCCAGGTTCAAGCAAATATTTTTTATGCATACTACTGTATACCAAAAACTCCTCTTCCTTTCACCCTCAAAATAAAATAGTATGTATATGGTGATGCTGCATAATGGTGAACGTTCGCATTAGACCATGTTAAGAGGTTGCGTCAAGTCTTGGTGGCTGAGGCATCCAAAACTGTAACTGGCTACTGGTGATATTTTTATGATTATTGGAAGCCGGTTGATGGACACTTGTCCGTTGATGTTGCCATTTAAGAGAAATGTTCTGAACAATACAGTAAGTCCTCAATATATGTGAATTCACTCATATGAAAAGGCACTATTCCTACCAGGAATTCAATTAATGTGAACAAAATTCAATTTTATGTGAGATGTCATACTCCCTGATATGGATTCCAACCCCGATGACTCTGCAGATGTCACTCCAACACCATCACCTTTACCACCACCTCCATCAACTCGTCTACCCGAGTTGATGTATCTGCTTTTATTGTTAAGTACACTGTACTGTACACTTGCTTTATCTATTATTTTGAAAATAATATTGTATTGATTTGTTTTATGGTTTATTTGTCTCAAAAATTGGTCGAGCATTTTAATTTTGGGTGTGGAACGCATCTTATTTTTCCCATTTAACTAAGTATTCGATATTTGGTATATCAATTAATACGAGGGTTTTCAGGAATGCATCCTTCGCAAATATCGAGGACTTACTTTATAGCTGTAGTTATGGGTGATATTTTTGGACTAGCTATATTGAGAAAACCCTTTAAAATTTTTTGAAGTACAGTACTGTACAGTGTAAGGTTTTCTCTTCAAATACTGTATACAGTATTGGTACAATACTGATACAGTGATACATGAAACTTTTCTGCCACAGTTAGTGATATATATTTAGTAGATAACCTCAGGGTTATAGCTAAATGTAATGAAATTCAAGGAAGCTATTACAGTATAGAGCATGGAGATCTTAATTAACCCTTAAAGCCCGAGTCACGTTCCTCAACTTTCTTAATTTTCATGGCATACAGTCTCTCCTCCACTTACGACGGAGTTCCGTTGACCAGGTCGTAAGTCGAACAGACGAAAATAATACATAGTACAGTACAGGTAATAATTGTAAAACTTTTACCCTTTTAATACACAAACTGAGCGGGATATGACATGGATGCTGTACGCATGTGGCAGCGTGCCAGCCGAAGTTGTCGTACGGCATTGTTAGACATTACGACCAAATGTCTAGACTCGAAAATAATGTAGAATATGTTAATATAATATAACGACAATGACCGTCATAAGTCCGGGTTGTTGTAAATATTGGAGAGAGTGTACGGTATTTTGAATGTCCATGCAGGACAAAATACTTTTGTTTGGGATTTTTATTTGCTTGACAACTCAACTCGCATGTAATCTTTGTCTCAAGTCTAGTGGTCCAGTTACCCACCAGCTATCATGATGGATGCATGTCCTTCGACGTTTCATGACCCACCTCGTCCCTCCACACCCTCGACAGTAGTGCTATCCATCAATAGTTGGTTGATTTGAATGGCACTGATATAGAACTGGGTGACAAAAAAAGTGATGGGAAGGAAACAGACTCAGAATGATGATATAGAGTTTGTTGAGGCGGCCAGTGGCAAGGACAGTGGTACAGACAGTGGCACTCACTTCCTCCCCACCCCACCAGCCACCCCTTAAGCGAGGTTGTGGATGTAGGTGACCACATGCATGCCAGCCACAACAGTATGCTTGGAGTGACTGCACTAATTTTACACTTAAAATACCAGTTTTTAAGTGTGGATTAAATTATATTTTATTTTTTATTATTTTATTTTTTATGCCAAAATATGCCCACGTTGGGGGTCCGGTGGGTCTTATGTTGTCCGGGGCATAAGGGTTAAGCAATATTTTGGTAGTTCTTTCAAGGGAAACAAATAATACTGCACAAGTACAGTATACACGATTAAGGGGGTGGGCCCGGAATCAAGGGAAGCACCAGGGTCCAAGATTTCTCTCCCAGGAACCGCTTTTAGGTGTGGAACTTGCTGTGGCTTTGTTTTCATCCAGCCTACCTTACATGATTACTTTATCCTATTCAACACTTGTCAGCTTACTAGCTGGTTGAAAGGTACATAACTGTACTACTGATAAGTACTTGGCATGTACTGGCTCTCAAATATACATTTGCTTCCATACATAACGGGTATAGTGGCTGGTGTGTTTTGTGAGAAGTGGCCCCACCAGACAACAGATATAGATGTAAAAAATCAAAAGTAAGTAAATGTCTGTGTGCCAACACCAGTTTGATAGCCCTCCTTTAGATATTCTAAGCTTTTGGCAGTCTTTGATATATCTTGGAGACCAAACAGAAGTACAGTATTGTACAGTGCATTTGGAGTGAGTTAGCAATACACTTTGGAAAATCCTCATGAGAGATGGACCTTCTAGGTTTGTGTATTAACGTGGTGGCACACTAGGCACTTTCCTCCAAACATGTTTGGCAAACACGGTCTGGCCAGTTTAGTTAGCGCATCTGTCCATCGCAACGAAAACAACAACAAAGCGTCTAGACGAGGTTTTCCATGGATCCCATTACTACAGTTGAGGCCTTGCAGGATTGTGCTATAGTTCTTCAATTGCTGAAGCAAGTGAGGCATCTGCAAAAGCTAAAGAAAAGTTTCTTTAAAAGTGGCAGTGGCTGGCTGGTCAAAGAAGACCCTGAATAATGATTTAATAATACTAAAGAAATTTTAAAGTGGCGAATAAATAGAAGTATGTCACCATTTTTGTGTTACAGTATATTTTAAATTATTATTGTTTCATTATTTATTTAAATTTTTACTTGAAATTATATGAAGCTCATTTGAGCACTAATCAGGCCAGCAAAGATCCCCACCAAACCGTTGTCCATTTCTTGCAACAGCAGAAATCCTGCTGCTTGTTGGGCCGTCAGGCCAACGGTCAGCAAAACAGACAACATGTTTGGAGGAAAGTGCCCAGTGTGCTGCCACCTTTAGTCACTTTTTCCTCAAAATGAATCAAGAACTTTTTTAAGTTGATAACATAAACACCCAGACTTTCTTGACATTTAGTTTCAGCAAGGAAAATGTTTTTTTTAATTTTACAAAGAATTTAGAGTAACTGAATTATGTACAATCAAAGACAAAATTCATGTCTTGGTTTTGTCCGAAGATTAAATATAACTCGTGAAACATTATGAGAACCCCCTACCACAAGGCAGAGCTCACCAAAAGTTTAGCCCAAATTTCACGACACGACTTTTGTCTTTCATTGTACATCTCCTTAATTGTTATGAATTATCGACTTTTCAGGAGGTGGTCAAGCTAGAATTGTTGTGCAAGCAGCTTCATGAAGCTAATGATGGCGTTCAGCGGCAAGAAGCAGAAAAAGCGCTGGTGGAGTTCCAGTCAGGTCGAGGAGCTGCTACTCTCAGTCAGTGCCAGTTGCTCCTAGATCGAGCTCAGTCATCTTACTCACAGTATTTGGCAGCTACTACACTAACCAAGCTCGTGTCAAGAAATCCGTGTACACTCTCACTCCAACAGAGGATTGATATTCGTAAGTGTTTAATACAGTATTTATATGGGTTTAAAGTTTATGTTTTCATGCTATATGTCTCTGTGTATTTGTTCCCCTCTACATGAATATTCATCATGATAGTCTAAAAGTAGAACTAGAATTTATCAATAAGTTTTTATTTTTCTAACTTGAAAATGAATGTAAACAATTTTCACATATGAGTGCCGGGATTCAAACCTGGACCACTAAGTTTGGCAAGAAAGCAGCCATCCACTGGACCATGATGGGCTAAAAGCTACCCATCCTTAGCTACTCACTGCAGCTCAAAGTCCCATACATAAAAAAAAATTAAATACATTATACAGTAATAAGGTTTTGACTCCTGGATTTTAACCATACCATTTATGACGTACCAATTTTTTATACAGACACTTCGATTTTGACTCTTAATACCTGGTTATGACTATCCTTTTGCCCTTGCTTTCCTCATTATCTTATCGTCTTTTGCTACCTTTCTTCCTTAGTCATACACCATGCACCTGGTAGGACGTAGGTAGCCCAAGTTACCACAGTTGAAGGTGGCAGCTGTGGCCTGATGAAATGTGTCATCTCTGTCTGCTACCAAGGCTGTTTGAATATGTCCTTATTTTAACTCTTTTCTTTGTGTGTTTGTGTGTGTGTGTTTGTGTTTGTGTTTGTGTTTGTGAATATTTTTTAGATGACTCAGGAATGCTGTCTTCACTTAAACTTGTTAAAGCTTACATATCTTAGTCCATGGTAGTTAACATTTAACTTGATTGACCACCTGATCCATGTTATGCTGCCACCTTCTTAATTGGTAGTCAGTTACACTTGGGAGATTGTTAATTTTGGCAGCTGGCATAGAGGACATAGGTTCCCAATGTATAGAAATCATTAACCCCAAAACAGTGGTCATCATCAATGGAAATTAGCTGTGGAAAACAGGGTTTTTGAATGGAGAAATGCTGGCTTTGCACAGCCAAGGTCATTATTATTTGGCAGGATTTTTAGTGGAACTTTGGGATATGAGGAAATAAAGATTCAGTGTGAATAATTTAATAAATCCTTTTTTTTTTTCAGGAAATTATGTTCTGAATTATCTGGCAACTCGACCCAAACTGGTTCATTATGTTACTCAGGGCTTGGTGGTGTTGTTTGGCCGCATCACCAAGCTAGGGTGGTTTGATGGCCTTGACAAAGAAAAATGGGCATTCAGAAATGTTATTGGTGATGTATCTCAATTTCTTCAGGTAAGCATGAATATGATCTGTATATTACATCATTTACAGGTGTGCAGATAGTCTGTTAGAGTTAGATGCACTACACATGACACTGCTACATTGTTGTGCTATCTGTGTACAATGGCAATGAAATTACTTACCCCAGTCCATTGATTCCTATTGGAAACAAGTCATGACAGACATTGTAGTTATTAGTTAAGCGTAAAACGACAAAAGAGCTTTTAAATGGTTCCCAAACCCCGATCAGTTTTTGTTATCATTGATTATTGGATATGGCTTTGTAGGTATCAGCTAGCCTTCAGGGCTCCACCACACCAGTTCACTGCTGATTTCACTGTAGTGAAATCACACACCCACACCTTTTTTCTTGTATGCTAAATACATGCAAACATGCACACAGACACACACATAAGCATGGTTTTCTCTTCATTTATTGTCATTATTTAACCCGTCACTTTTAATATTTTATTTGGCCAACGCCAAACCTGGGGTTAATATTTAATGCTTTAAAAGATGTGTGTTACTATTGTATTCTCCCTCCGCAAAAGGCCCCAAATTTGGGTTATCCCGCCACTACACTTAAATATCACCAAGCAGTAGCTTGTCCTTTCCCACAAATTACTTGATGTCAAGATTTTTGCTCATTCATGCACCCAGCTGCTTCGTAAATGTTGAGAATATTAATCAGAATGTTATAGCACCTACTGTAAGCGACATGTGTATTGATGGTTAGTTAGTATCATGTAAAAGACCAAAACTACAAATGTTGTGTTTGTATGATCATGATGTAGTTGATGGAAACAGTTGACTTTTACTTCCAGGTTCCAGTTACCACATTTTATCTACTGTACTTTAATGTTATATTTCAGTGATGATCCCTGTCATGACTGTTGGAAAGGTTTGCTTTAGTTCTGGACTGTATGAATTTGGACATCCGTAAAATCTTACGTTTCTTGTTCCTAGATATTACTGTATCTGTATCCTTTACAATTTACTATGAATTATTTCTCACCATTTTATTTTACAGCTTACTGTAAAAATAACTCTTGCAAGCATTTCATCCTTTTATTGAATGTACAGTATCCCAAAATAAGAAATTTAGATGACAAGCACTGTGAAAGCTACTTATCGGTTTGTAAAATTAAGTAAACTTTGATTGCCCCCCCCCCCCCCATCCCCCATGGTGGGGGATGTGATTATAATATCTGTTGTGACTGTTTTTGTGCATGTATAGCCTACATGGGAATGTATTTGTCTGTGTGCATCTTTCCAATCATCTTGTGAATATGATATCTCAAATGATAGAAATGAATGTCGATGAAACTGGTATGTAATCTAGCAAGCTCTAGGTCGTATTTGATATTCACATTTTCTCTCCATATTTTGTGGATTTTTTGGCCAATTTTGTTTCTGTGGTGTGGAGGACCTTAGACCCTCGTGGTCAACTTTTATACAGTGGTACCTCAGTTAACGAAATTTTGGTTTACGAATTATCTCCCATAAGGATCTTCAATTCGGTTAACGAACAAAACTTCGATTAACGAAATCCTTACGACAAACACGTTTTGTTGTGAGCATCAGCTGATGGGCTAGTCTGCCAATTCAGTAATCTGTTCTATGTTTACATTCATTTCCAGTGGAATAAATATCAAGAAAGTTGTGCTCTTTAATATTTGTTATATTAAAATTATTAGTCATTTTAAAATTAAGTTAACATATTGATAATATATGCAATACAGGGAACTAGTTTTTTGTGCGCCCATCAGCCGCTTGACTCACCCACCAGGCGTCAGTGTGGCTTTGTTTACAGTGGAGTGAACATCGATTTTGTTGGTATCTTGAATATTTTTGCATTTTTACATAAAAATTATTGGTCATTCTGAAATTTAGTTGACATATTGATAATATATAGTGCAGTGTTGATTTAAATAAAATAATCTTGAATTACACCTAGTGAATTTAAAATTTTATTGGTGAAATTACTGCATCAAGCATGGGTCCCCTGGAAGGTGATTTCTCCTCCATCCCCACTTCCTTCTCTTCTCCCTTCTCCTCCACCCCCACTTCTAATTCCCATCATCATCATCAATTAGGAACCTTCTACATACACACCTCAAGGTAAGTGTACTTTACTGCATTTTTTTTTTACTTTATGTAATTTTCTGTGAGCTGGAACCAATTACCCAATATCCCATTGAAACAATGGATTTGGTTAACGAATGACTGTGGAACGAATTGTGTTCGTTAACTGAGGGACCACTGTATTTGGATATTAATTAAAAAAAATTTTTAGCTGTAAATCTGTGAAATTGTATGTCATAAAATGTGTTCTTCCCTTACAGGGCTCAGTGGACCACTGTGTTATTGGAGTGCAACTGCTTGCTCAGCTGACTGCAGAGGTGAACCAGATTTCAGAGTCAGATGCAAACAAATCCCTTACTAAACATCGCAAAATTGCAAGCTCATTCAGAGACACACAGCTGTATGATATCTTCCAGCTCTCCTGCACACTTCTTAGGACTGCACTAGAGAACTCCAAGACCCTTAATTTTAATGATGAAAGTCAACATGGACTAATGACACATCTACTGCGATTAGGTGAGAGTGCTTGGAGAAATAGATATTATAATCTTTAATATCTTAAAATATTATTCCTTCTTCCATAGTCAGTTTATTTCATTCTTTCTTATTACAGTATTGGCAATTGTAAGACAATGGATCAAATAAATATAAATGATAATCTAAATGAACAATAAATTACATTTTGTTTTGTTTTTATTATTTCAGCTCTAAACTGCCTTACATTTGACTTCATTGGTACTTCTGTGGATGAAAGCAGTGATGACTTAGGAACAGTTCAGATTCCCACAGCATGGAGGCCTGCCTTCCTTGATTTTTCTACAGTTCAGCTGTTTTTTGACCTGTATGCCTCCCTCCCTGCTACATTGTCACCAGTGGTAAGGTTTTACTGTTTGGTGAGGAAATTACTATCAATATTTAGCATTGTAACATTTCGCATTGATTCAGCTACTTGTTATGGTGTGTGTGTATGTTCTGATTGATACACTTGTTCATCATCATGTTATTGGTGAGGGATTGTGGTAGATAGAATAATTAGGTAAAAGGAAAATAATTAGCACTGTACAAAGAGATGTAACGGCATGGTGTAGCATTAGGGATGGCATGACTTGAGAACATGATGATGAGTAGAATTTGGTGATTGACTTACTGCTGGCTGATACTAGATTGTGGGAAGTGACAAGGTTAAACCAGATGAATGTCTAGGTCTTGTTATGGAAAAAGAATAGTTTGCTTCAAGTGAATGTACTGTATCATTTATTCCATGAAAAAACCTAGTAACTGTATGTGAAGGGAGAGTTTTTTGTTTACTCTTCACTTTGGTTACTTTACATCACAGTGGGGAAAATGCTTGCACGAATGAAAACGAAAATGGTACATCACTGGTATAAATATCAGTGCCTACTTCTTCACTTTCTTCAAAAGCTGAACAGTTCATTTGCAGACAACACCAACAATCTTAATTGCAATCTCCTGTGTTGCTCTGCCCATTTTGTTACTCTCCAGCCCTCCTGTATGTCACTTAAACATCACATCGACCTTCAACTCTGAACTTTGCCAGCACCACAGAGGAAGTTACACATGGCTTAACCATCCTCCTCAGTCCCCAAAACTAAATATGAAAATTATAAAAGGAATGTCATTAATTTTCCTAGTAAATAAAAGAAATGCTAATACAAAAACAAGACATTATACATACATACATACATACAGTATATACATATTTACATACAGTACATACACACATACATACCCATAGGTATAGTAAATGTTTAGCTCCCATACTTCTTTCAAGCCATATGAACCTTGAAAATGGGTTTATAAGTATTGCTGATTATTTTATTAAGTCATGTAATAACAAAACCTAAACTTGTTATTTATCTTTTCAGACGTTATCATGTCTGGTCCAAATAGCCTCTGTGAGGCGAACACTATTTAGCAATGAGGAACGAGCCAAGTTTCTCTCTCAACTAGTCAATGGTGTTAGGAATATACTTCAGAATCCACAGGTTAGTTCAGTAAGGTATTTTTGTTTAACTTGTAAGTACTGTATTACAAACTTTAGAATATCATCAGAAAATTTAGTATTATGTATGTTTTTTGTGCTTGTTTTGACGGATTATAAAGTACATTTAATGTGAATAGCATGTCTGCGATTGTTTATCTTAAGATTTAATTGGAATTTGTGGAATATTGTACAGTATAGTGAAAAAGCTGTTCATTCTGTTAAGTACAGGTTTTTAGCATGTAAAGATACCAGAAATGATGGAACCTTTTTTCTATGGATTATTGTATTATTATAACCCCCCACCCCTATTTTTAGGGCCTGAGTGACCCTTCAAACTACCATGAGTTCTGCCGGTTGTTGCTGAGATTGAAGAGCAACTATCAGTTGGGTGAGCTGGTGACAGTAGAACATTATCCAGATGCCATCCAACTTATAGCAAAGTTCACTGTTGAGTCCTTAAATATGTGGCAGTTTGCACCAAACAGTGTGCATTACTTGCTATCCCTGTGGCAACGCATGGTTGGATCTGTGCCCTACATGAAGGTCAGTATACTCAATGTTGAGTAGAAACAAAAGAATGTAGTTACTTCATTTCTGCTGAGTCTCTGCCATGTCACTTTTCTGTGCAACCCAAGCATGTTTGGTGAGTAAATTTTCATTCATATTGTCAAACAAATTGAACTATTTCTTCTGCTTTCCTATGCTTCTTTCTTTTAGTGTATTCTTTACACTATGTTAGGTGCAGTACATTAGAACTGCATTCTTTGGTCTTAAAAATGGTTGTTTTACAGATAAAGAAGTTCTTCCCCTGTTTTCAATATGCATTTACCATAATCATTATATACATACATCACAATTACAGATACTGTACAGGAGACACACACTGCTTGTGGTTTCAGTGCAGCAAGTGAATCAAAGGCTAAATGGGAAGGAAAAATGATGTCTGTAGGTCAGAAAGTGGAGTTATTGGACTCACTATGTTAAGCCAGAGTACAGAACAGTATATGATCATTGAGTTAGTGTTGTGGCAAATTCCCCCAAAGAGTGCATAACTTTTGTTTGTGACTCATGGTCTCAAAATGAAAAGAGCCTTTCACCTTTGAGTCAAAGATGTCATGCAGAAAAATTTACTGGCACCCCCAAAGGGTCAGGTCTTATGAGTGTTGTTTGTCTATATGATTATCATCACTTTCATCATTACATGTTTACTGTATTACACTTATACTTTTATTATTGTTGAAATGTGGTTCTTTTGTAAAAACGAAAAATGTAAGAATAAATGAGTTCTAGAGTACAGGGTGAGTATCCTGATCCCCACCCCTGAGGCACCATGTACACTTGGTATTATGTGTAGCATGAGCACCTAGCTAATTTGAGACAAGAAAAAGCATCTCTTGATTCCTGTTATTCAGGTACAATACTTTGCTATAATTTCGTGGATCATCCAGGAATTCCACACTTGTAGATGAATGCTTAAGTTTGAATTGTAAAGGTTTCAAATTCAGTTTTATGGATGTGCAGCCCTAGCTTATTTACCATAGCTTTTGAATATGTGGAGACCTATCATATTTTACTATTCCTCTAATTCTTCAAGATTGGAGGAATAAATTTATGATGCTTCTGTTGATATTAATTTTTAGTAACACCATCTATGAACAACTTTATAATAAGCACTACTGAAGTTGGATGAATTTGGCTCAGCAAACCTCAGACTAAGGTGGCAAGGGTTAATTCACAGTTTAACCTGCTCCTCTGCAGCAGCCATTGCCCTTAAAAGATGGCGATTAGGTGCTAAGGTTACTCAAAATCTTTTAACTCACGTTACAGTCATCATTTTATTGTTGAATTTGGTCTCCAACCAGATTATACATACCTTTCTTTAAACACTTTTCCATTTTTTCATTGTTGGAAAAAGAATAGTATTTAATTGCTTATAAATCTAAGACCTGATCTGACACAAGTAGCACTAGCTAAATGAGTAATGGAAAAGATGTTGAAAAGTGAAAGTGGGTCCCATAGGCATGATTTCCCACTTGGGACAGTGAGGATACAACACACTGTATACTAAGTCTTCAGTACACAAGGAGGCAGCATGGCCAGTACTGCACTTGACCGCATTCACTTCCCAAGCTATAAACTTAGATACCCATTTACAGCTGGGTGAACTTGGAGTGCCTGGGAATATGGTATGGACATATAAATTGGTGGCTCATACTAGGAAGTCCCTTATGAGGATGAAATCATGTGAGCAAGAAAGTTCTTCTCTGGCTTTGAATTGGAAATGGGGAGGTGTGGGCCATCATCTTGTCTGCCCTTACAAAATCATTAAGGGTAAACCAGGATTCATATTTACTACAATCATCTGACCCATTTTCTCAATTCTTATATTTTTGTTGGTTCTTCTCGCACTAAGACAATCCTCAGTAGAGTCTTATAATTCTTATTTAAGAATTGGAGTCCAAGATTCACCAGTGAGTACTTTCTCTTCGGCTGTGGAGAGGAAACTCTTTTGATTAAGAAGTTAGTTTCCTCCCTATCATGTTAACTTAATTGATGTTAACTTTCAGGCTACTGAACCACACCTATTAGAAACCTACACTCCAGAAGTTGTACGTGCTTATGTGTCTTCTCGGTTGGAGAGTGTCAGTGTGGTGCTGCGAGAAGGTTTAGATGATCCATTAGATGATGTTACAGTCATTCAGCAACAGCTTGATCAGGTAAGCATAATTAATATTAACAGGCACACACACACACTGTATATATACCGTATATATATACAGGGTATATATATATATATATATATATATATATATATATATATATATTACTTTGTCAGGGAGTTTTAATATTAATTTATTTAAACAAATATTTTTCAGCTGTCTACAATTGGTCGGTGTGAGTATGCAAAAACGTGTGCACTGCTGGTGCAGCTGTTTGAACAGACTGCTCAACGTTATCAGGAATTGATATCTGCACGTATGAACAGCCGGTCTCAACAGCACTCCATGGAGGAAATAGCAATATTAGAAGGTATAACTTCCATCATTACACATCTGTTTTTCCTTTAGTCTTTAGGTTTTGATAATGTTCTTATACTTTACCCGACAAATTTAAGTTCTGTTATCTTCTTTTCATTCCCAGTTTAAAAAGCAAATATGAAGGAATGAACTGGTAGTTATCACATTATCTGCTCTTCTTTGGTATTGTTAATAAGCTTATCCAGGAAAGCTGAAAGTCTTAAACATACTCTATTTTCCCTAGTGAGATTATTTTGTTTTACACATTTCTTTTGAACAGATGATAATCCTTGATTATATTAACAGCTCTTGATAAATAAGAAGCATTTGCTAACTATAATACTGTACAGTATGGTGTTTATTGAATTTATATTAAAATATTTGCATCTCAAGTTGTATTGCACTGAACAAATGGCCTGTGGTAAATATAAATTAATTAAAGTATAAGTTCCTCAGAATTGTTTAGGTTCTGGAACTGTTTAGTCTATTATTTATAGTGTGCTTAATTATTGTATGACTTGCCCATTAAAGGTCAACTAACGTGGTTGGTATACATGATTGGGTCTGCTATTGGTGGTCGTGTATCATTCAACACTAGTGACGATCATGATGCAATGGATGGAGAGCTAGTATGTAGGTAAGTGATGAAGTAGGAGCATCCTATACTGTAATGGTAATGCACAGGAAGTGGATGAATGTAATCATTACATTATTAAATATTAAATACGGAATGTATTCTAAAATGAAAAGTCTCAAAGCATTTTTTTTAATTCATCGAATGTACAGTATAGTATGAGCTGTGAAGTGAAGGGCCATTTAATGAAGGCTTTGTTAATACTGATTAGATGGTCAACATGGGAAATGGTTGAAAAATCTTTTGATGAAAAGAATGTTTGGCATGTTAATATGTACTTCATTGCAAATGCAATGTCACTACTGTCATGCCTGTCACCGTCTGTTGTTTAATATTTTTTTTTAACAGGATTCTACAGCTGATGAACTTAACAGACACATGTCTGCCACAGGGAGGATGTGAACGCCGCGAATTAGCCACAATTTCTTTTTTTGAGCAGTTTCGGAAAATTTATGTTGGAGACCAAGTTCACAAGACTTCCAAGTTCTATCGGCGACTCTCTGACATTCTTGGACTTAATGATGAGTCAATGGTTTTAGCAGTATTTGTTAGGAAAATGTAAGTAATTAATTTTTTAAAACCTTTCTATATTAAGTTGAATATTTCTAAGTTATATATGTAAATGTTCAGCCTCAACATAAAAAACAAACAAAATGCACCATTTTAAAGAAGTTAAATAAATGAGTAGCTTTATATCATTGACATTTACAGTATGTAGTCTGAGTATGATGACACAGTGAATTGGGCAACTCATGTTCTTGTGTCAGCAAGCTGAAGGGGCGACCCAAAGGGTAACCAGGAACCCTCCACTTTTATGACTAGGTTATGCTTTATAAATCAAGTAACACCAGAAAACTTAAGATAGGATCTCTCCTGGCTCAACTTCAGTCCTTACAAGTATGATGCAAGTACAGGCACTGAGTACTGGTTACTTTGGTGAGGTATCATATGATAATTAATTCATGATTAATTATGCTGTTAAGACACAGTTATTGTTTGTATTTCTTTTTAATCTTGTGCTCTCATTTCAGTATCACCAACCTTAAATATTGGGGCCATTGTGAACAAATTTTGACACGCACCTTGACACTTCTGTCTGACCTGTCCATCAGTTATAACAGTGTTCGTAAACTTGTCAAACTTGAAGAGGTGCAGTTTATGCTCAATAACCACACGGTGAGTTTGATGGCAATCTTTTTTCCTGAAAGTTTTATGTTGTAGCACCAGGACTGTGAATTATGGGAATGACTTACATCTTTTTTGTAAAAGATGAAACATTTTATTTCAAGTCTATTTTCATTTGAGGGTGTAGTTCTTCTTAGAGGGAATGTAATCAACTAAACCAGGTTGAGTTAGATATATTGAGATTGAAAAGTATAATGTAGAAACCATTAGTTGGAAGGTAGATATTACAGATACTATTAGGTCTTTAGAGGACTAATGGTTAGCTAGTAATTTTTTGGACAAACAGAGTGTTTTGAGTTTTTATACATTTTTTGAGAATTTTGATGGGGAATGATTTCTGTGAGTAGAGGCTTAGGGTGTTATTTGCATGTGGCAGTTTAAGTTCTGTACATTAACATAAGAATTGCATGCTTTGATAGGAAATAAGCACACCAAAAATTTATTTCAGTTAAAGGGAATTTTGAGGCATTTAAGTTCCCAGGATCTGAATAAAAGGAAGCTGGATGCATAAGATTTAGGTGTTGCTTATATGCTTTGCATGAACTGTTGAATAGTTTACATATGTAAGTTTTACACATAAAGTGCAGGTATGCATAAAGGTGTTTCAGGAATGTTTTGAGTCATTTTATATTTCTAGAGAAAACTTTTAAATACAGGTTCATAGGCTTTGTGCTCACTCGTAGCTTCTCACAGTATTACTCATTTAAAATCAGAACAGTAAGAAGATCTGTTGTTTCTTCCAATGTCATGACACACTCTTTAGTGTTTGTATGGTTTTTTCCTTTGTATAACTTCAAAAGATGAATTTAAGGTAAGCATTTGCTTGGTAAAGAAATATTTTAAAAATATCAGAGTTATACAAAGTATGTATAACCAAGTATTAAATTTTCATGTGTGCCCGTGTATCAGGCTTAATACATTTTTGTGACACTCAGAAACTCACCAAAGAAAAGTACATTACTGAGAAAGAGGAACTATGTGTTTGTTCACAACTGCCTGTACCTTAGGGATGTGCCTCCTTTTCTAAAATTATAATTGGTTTGATCCTGGGGCACTCCTTATCCACCTAGTTGTAAATGAGTACCTGACCTTACATGTTGGGGAAGTGAAGGTGGCTGAGTTCAATGCTAGCCTCGCTTAGTATACAGTGTGCTGTACCCACACTATCCCTGAGGGACATTCATGCCTATGGGACCCACTTTTACTTTTTTCACCTATGCTTACAACCTCACTAGGAGCATATTATATGTTTTAGTAAAGGAAACCATTCCTAGTTCAGTAATAGATGGGTAGATGAGAGCTGCAACTGTATCCGCTGTTTTTTATTGCCCTATGCCATTAGTTCGTATTTCATAATATTATTGTGAATAACCTTTGTTTCCTTTTATAAATGTGTAACAATTTGACAGACTAACTTGAAGTGTTTAGATTCCTGGTTAACAGTTACAACAAAAGAAAGAAAATCACCAAGTAAACATCATTAGAATTAAATTAATTGGGATCTCTGTCAATATACATTAGCCTGACAAAAGTTAGGAAACCTGGCAGTCACAACACGAGAGAGACAGATGTTCTTGTTTTTGTACACAACTTTACAGCAAGGATGTCACCAACCTTACTCCCTCTAAATAAAACAAAAATTCTTCAATACTTACTGGTTTATATGTTCAGATAATAAGGTTATATTGAACTTGCTTTGTTATTTGATAAGAAAAAAAAAGAGATATAAACTATGTCTCAGCTGCCCAGATTATGGAACATTGTTTTGTCCAGTAAAGGCAAACCCTGTTATTCATAGCCTCGGTATTCGTAACCCCGTTTATCCGCAGTCAATTTATCGTTACCCATTTCCACTATTCGCAATGGTTGCCCCGTTTATTTGAAAATTCGTACGAGCCAAAATTTTGTACAGCGCGCCTCAACCGTAGCGTAGGACAGCGTGTGTATGTATTCCTCCGCCATACGCTCCCCTCAGTTTCACACGTGCTGGCGTGTGTTTTGTGTGATCTCGCAGTTGTGTTTTGCGTGATCTCGCAATGCCTAAGCGACCAGCTACTAAAACTCCCAGCAATGTTGCTAAGAGATCACTTGTGGCAGTTACATTGGACGTGACATTGGATATCGTAAAAAGACATGAACACGGAGAAGGAACGTCAGTGAATGGGCGCGTGCAAGGCTTGACTCCCTCTATGGTGTATTCTATAGTTAAAAGCACTGACAAGATCATGGAGATGGCTGGATCTGCAACACCACTGACGGCTACAAAGGTGACGAGGTTCCGTGATGTCTACGTTTAAAACTTACCACACAGACTTACGCACATAAACATTCAAACACTCACACACTGAAACATGTAAAGTACCCCTGTATACTGTACTTGTAAATATACACGCCTAATAAACTCAAAATGTTTGTTATTGATGTTTATTTGATATTACAGTATGTCCTTGTTTCTTTATCTATTTTATATTCCATATGTATTTGAGTAAAACAAATGTTAAAATCTGATGGCCGTGACCACCACGATGCCCGTATCCCCCCTATTTACATTATTTCTTATGGGAGAAATTGCTCCGCTATTCGCAACGAGTTAAATGCCCGTAACCTTTGCGATAAGTGAGGCAACCCTGTATTGGAAATTGTGAATATTTACTGGTAATATAGAATTTTATATTTTTGGGGGGCAAATAAGTAATGTATTGTATTTATATTTGAAATATTTAATGAATAATAAACTGTATTGTACATTTTGAAGCTTGATGTTTTATTGCTGTAGTCACATTTATAGTGAGTATTCAAACGAATATTAAACTGATGTTATCGATATGTATAAACCAGGCTGTGCAGATTATTTGGAACATTTACTTGGCCCGGACAAATGACTTGAAATTTACATTGACAAATTTTGGGAGGAAATTTACTTGCCCAGATATTTTTTCTGGGGCAAGTCAAATAAACATCTTAAAACTTTAATATTTACTGTGTGTATCAACTCACAGATAACTTGCCTAAATGGTGTCAGTGGTGGTAACCCTCGTCATGTGATATAACTTCTGTCACCTCATACCTACTGGGTGGATGAGGAGGCAGAGCTGACCCCTTGATCACCCATCTTCACGACCATCCCCCCCCCTCCCTATAAGCCGGTATTGGGGGTAACACTTGTCATGTGAGGTTATAACTCCCGTCACCACATGTCTTCAGCCCCTCTACTTGGAGGTTCCTTTGAAATGTTGTCAACAACTGACTAAGAGGCAGGTTGACGTCTTCATGTAGGGATAAATTACCTGCCCCTGATATAGGTCACTATTCCTGGAACACTGAAGACAAGCGGCCCGTTGACGGACCTCCCTGGTTAAACAGGTATGGGAAGGAGGAGTGTTGCTGCACCTGACAAATTCCCGTCTAGGTGTTCCTTTCAAAATATTAGATTGTCTGCCAGCCAAGTGTCAGGTACATGGACAAGATAAGCAAAATTGATTAATGCAGTCAACCCTAAAAATTTTGAAGATAAACAATTTAGGGATTATACTTTAAATTAGGGTAAGCAGGTAACCTTTAATTACCTCAGTGACTAGTGACCCTGCTTTGCCAGCTGAGAGGGGCACTTTACAGTCTGTGCGGAATATTAGTTTGTGTGCTGAAAAAATATTGATATTTACGATTATGTTATATAAATAAAGTCAAGTAACGCTTACCACTTCAATTAACACTTTGTAGTGTTTCCTCTGCGCTTCAGACAGTCTTTTAGCCTTCGAGGAACACTGTCAGCAAGGTTTTGCAAGAGGTCAGGTGGCAAGTTAGCCCAGGTATCCTTGATGGCTGCCTCTAGCTTTGGGATTGATGATGTGTCAGCGTCGCGCAGACGACGCTTAACAATGGACCACAAATTTTCTATTGGGTTAAGATCTGGGCTACTGCCAGGCCAGTCATTAAAGAAAGGTACCTCACAGTCTTTGAGCTACTGTATGACACTTTTAGCAGTGTGGCATGGGGCACCGTCCTGCATGAAAAGGCTTGCCTTAGCTTTATCAAATGATTCAGGTAAGAAATCACTGAGCAGTTCAAGATAGCTGTACTAATTCATCTTCTGGTTCTTAGGGAGGATTACTAGTTCACCAACACCATAATACGTAAAGGAAGCCCAAACCATAAGCGAGGCAGGGTGCTTAACAGTCTTTACATTGTATTGTGGGAGGTGCGCGTCTGAGTGGGGGGGGGCGGTACACCCTCCCTCCATTACTCCCAGTCACAGAAAACGTAGCCTCATCCGACCATAATACACTCCTCCATGTCTCTAAATCCCACACTTCATATTTCTTGCAAAATTTCACTCTATTTTTCTTCTGTCTCTTTGTCAACAGAGGTTTACGGTGGGCACGAAAGCTCTTAAATCCCAGGTCATTGTGCAGGGCTTGTTGAACACAACTTAACGAGACGTGACTCAAAAGACGGGGGTTTCTCTCTTTCACTTCACGTGCTGTGAGTGAGGGATTGGACCGAACTTGTCGAGAAATAACCAAAAGTGTCCGTGGAGACAATAGTTTAGGCCTACCAAACTTAGGTAATGGAGCTGGTAACTCGTCCTCTCCAAGGTCACGGAAACGTTTGACAAGATTTTGAACAACTCGTAATGCCACACCAGTCTGAGCCGATATTTCTCTCAGTACATGGTTCGCTTTGTACAGTGCAATCACTGCTGCAATATCGTCTCTTGTAGTAACCCTCCTGGACATCTCTGATGGCCACTATGTCGGGTTAATGCACCTTAAACTAGACAAAACATGGCCACATGGCACGGGAACCCGCACAATAAATATTCCCCTCACAGCTGCCAGAGGCGCACTGACTACAAACCGCGACATGTTCTCAGTTGCCAAATGTCAGCACTTGCCAACAAACCAAGCGTTTTGACATCTCGCATCCCAGGACAGGCTTCACAACATATGATCTTATTTTTGCGAGAACTTAGTTCATCGGCCCTATCGCGACTTAACATTCCGCACAGACTGTAAGTTCCCAGTTCCCTCTTTGTAAAAGTGGGTTGGCAATAGGAAGGGCATTCAGCCATAAACGTCCATAAAATTTGGCTGATGGTAATCCCGTCATCAGGTAATCATGGCTAACATGGTAAATGGCTTTAAAACAGTGATGGTGGTGATGTGGGCGTGGAATAAGTAGAAACAATTCTCGTTTTTACTGGCCCTTCTTAGGGTCCTTGTTGCTTCTTTTTAAAACAAAATTGTTGCAGTGAAAGTATCTCTTTGGTGATACAGGTATGAGAATACAGCTTGTATAAATATTGGCTCTAGTGATTACACCAGCTCCTGAGTGGTTAGATCTTATTCACTGTTCGGTTCTGTTGTTTGCCATGTTGCTTCTTATTCCTTTCTTATTTTTTATTTTTTAATGAATTGCAGTATTTTCCTCAATAATTTTCCTGTTCTGTGGAAGGTGTATGCTTGTGTTTCATGGTAAAGAGAAAGGGTTGGGTGTGAGAGGGCCAACAGACTAACCCAGGGTGCTGCCAAGCACCAAATTAACATGCCCTAACTTTCTGGTGATGGAGGTGTAAGTATGTACTACATGTATGTTTTGTGTGTTTGTGTGTACAGTACAGTACAGTACTGTATGTTTTTTAATGTATAATTTTCGTTAAATTTCTTACCTTATAGCTTTTTATCAGCCACAGCTTTTTAATATTTGTTTTGCTATTAATTTAAATTTTAGTATAACAGTTCATTTGTAGAATGGTCCATATTAAATTTATATCTTCTAAAAATGCTTTACATAGGATTTTTTTGTACAGTAATTGATTGTATTTATTTTTTATCATACAAATAATTAATTTTACTCTTTATTATTCAATTGAGTTAAGCCTAAACAAACAATATATTAACTAAATGATATTTAGAATCATTGCCTCATTGAGCTGGGCTGCACATTATATTCATCATGCAGAGTATTATATTCCAAAACAAGCATAATTATTTTCTGCCTTTTCAGAGAGAATTCAGGGTGCTAAAACAGTCTGGCCCTCAAAATGTAAGTCCAAGCACTTCATCCAGCCTAAGAAAAATAATATTAATTCAGTGATGGTTTTCTGGAGACACTTTTAGACTATTTTGACTAACAGGGTGCAGTTTGGCTGTGGTGGAGCAATGGTTTGAGGAACCTTCCTTATTGTATTTCTCATAACAAAATAACTACAAATTCCTTATTAAATATTTCCTAAATTTAAATATATTTTATATTAAATTAATTATTATTTTTATTAGTTTATAGGAAATATTGCGTATGGAGTGGATACCTGTCTTTAGTACGTCTTGTCACACACTATTAAGGGTCTTACCAGTGTGCTAATAGCTTATCTAAAAATCCTATTTGAGCTCATTTAAAAAATAACAGATAAATTTCTTCATCATTCTAGGGCTATAGGCATATAGATTCCTGGATGTTTTGCCAATTTATGTTTGTTTGATTTATCTCAACTTGTGCATTAATGTCTGGGATAATATCTTGACCTTACTCTTTTTTTCATTCATTATTTACATAATAAAAAGTATTATAATTAATTTTACAGAGTGAACACTTCCCTTTCTTGGGGGTGGGTGTGTCGGTGCAGGAGATGAGAAGTCGAACTTTGTTTTACACATCTCTGGGGCGGTTACTTATGGTGGAATTGGGGGAAGATGAGGAGAAATTTACACAATTTATGATCCCTATTACTAGTAAGTTATCACCTAAAATTTGCTTTGTTTTCTCTGTAACTATAGTAGAGGGAATTGTTTTGCTTGTTGGAATTTTCCTATACCTGTTTTGCAATTTATGGGAAAAAAAATTTGCATGATAAGTACAATATGTGTTTTATTCAGTGCTGTACATTTTTTCTTCTTATTATTGTGTTTTGTTGTTGGAAATCCTGATATTATGTATATCTTCATTCTGTATTGGTTATTATTTAAATGAAGTGGTCACAGAGTTTTGAAAAGTTTTCTGCATCAGCAATTTTACCAGTACAGTACAGCACAGTAGTGCAAGAAACTGGTCATCGATGTAAATCATAAGGTAGAGCTCTTTCATCCAAACTCTTAGCTCACTTTTACCAGAAAGCATGTTTTATATATATATATATATATATATATATATATATATATATATATATATATATATATATATATATATATATATATATATATATATATATATATATATATATATATATATATATATATATATATATATATATATATATAAATATATATATATAATTATATAAAGTGTCTTACTGTCTGTGTAGCATTTCCCCACCATCACCTGCGTCACCATTCCCCTGCATGACCTACCATGCCTCTCACCTACTCCAATGCTTTATTCTCCCCCTGCAGTGCTGGTAAGTGTTACGTTTTGAAAATTAGTAATTATGTGTATATGTACTGTATGTGGGCTGATAATTTTTTATTGTTGTATTTTTGTAGGGGGAGAGGAAAGTGCCTCGATAATTTGGAATTTGGGATAATTCGGCAATGCCAGAGCAACATATGTGCTGAGTTATCAGGGATTTGCTAGTAAAATGCAGTCAGTTACTCTTTCAGTATAATCCACCAGGTTTCAATATTCATCGACCAAAGCTGGAAAGATTCTTCTTTCTTGGACTGTACCTCATTTCTTATGCTCTAAGTAGTTTGTATGTGCTCTTCCTTCCTTCCCATCCTTTTAGTATTTTCACATTGCTTGACAAGATAATGTTCTTAGTTATTTCATATAATTGTCTCTCAAGTTTTTCATAGCTCTTTTGTTAATATCTTCTTTTCCCTATCCTCAGGTGCATTTGATAGTGTAGGTCGACTACTGGCTCAAGCAGAAACTCCAATGTTCCAGGCAGAAGAGGCTAAGAAAGGATTAATAGGCCTTGCCAGGGATCTGCGTGGCTTAGCATATGCATTTAATACCAAGACTTCCTATATGATGCTGTTTGATTGGATGTATCCTTTTATAAATTTTGTTCAAGCCCATTGTGTTTATCCTGTGATAACTCTGATTTGTAAATAGCCCTTTAATAATATTCACAATATTGTTACGCACCCCGTTTGTCAATTACCAGCTTCCACCACTGTTTCCCCGTGGCCAGGTCGTTTGTACAAAAGCAGTAGATATTAGATATATCACAAGTGTCATGGAATTACCACTGGCTGTCCCACCGGAGTCTGGTAATTTCCCGTCGATCAGTATCAGTGTACAGACAAACAGCTGGCAGGTAGATTTCCACCAGGTCACAGAAGCACTTGTGAACTGTAGTTCTTTAATAATCACTAAATCTTAACAAAACTGTTCACAGGGTATGTCTTCACAGCTGGACTTCTCACTTTGCATCTATACAGTCAGAACACTACCAGTGTACAATTCCTTAGTCTTTTTCACTTTTTATCGCTCAAAACAATTACGCAATACTTGAACAACAATTAGCTTCGGCTGTCATTAGGCTTGTACATATCTCTGGGTAGAAACGAACGACTCACTTCTAGACAGCTTGCGGGTGTTTAAATGCATCTCGTCAGACGCCTAGAGCATTCTACATAAGTAATAGATTAATATATACAGTACAAGAAAATCTCCAAAAACTTGCCAAATTAACTACTGCTTGGAATAGAAAATAATCAAAACACCTAGTTTGCAAAAATTATAATACTGTACTTAATTATGCCTTGGCATAACAATATATTTAATATTTTGATGATGAAACAGGCAGTCCCATTTTCCCATTTGTATCAGTGATTCGTGATTGAAAATGATTGTACAGCCTGTTACCAAAAAGAAACTATTAATAAATGGATAGGAGGCAAACTTAGTATTTTCAATGAATATGAATTTAATGGGCTTTGCTTCTGAGGCAAAATAGTCTCCGACCTCCTACACTCTTCATTTCAACCTTTGTTTTACTCAGTCTCTAATGTGAGTTTGCCAACATAACATGTACGTTTGTTGCTTATCGTCATCGTATCTTATTGTGAAATGTGTAGCAATTGGAGGAAACTTATTTGGTGTCCCTAATTTAAGTACAGTAATCTAATTGGTGACAAAAATTTGAATAGTTATTTGAATATTTAGTATTGTTTTGATATTTCTCCTTGATTTTTTACTAGATACCCAACATACACTGGTGTTCTGGTCAGAGGTGTGGAAATTTGGAGTCATGACCCACAGGTGACCACCCCAGTACTCAAACTCTTTGCAGAGTTGGTACAGAACAGATCTCAGAGGCTCCAGTTTGATGTCTCATCACCCAATGGTATCCTGCTTTTTCGAGAGGCCAGCAAAGTCATCTGTACATATGGTAAGGACTGTGCATTACTTACAGATAAGTGAATCTTTGTCTCTTTGCTTCCCCATTTCTTGTGACCTACTAACATTTTTCTTGATATCTGTATATGTGTAGAATTGCTTTTATTTTATACAATAAATGCTTTCCTGTGTGAAGAATATGTAGATACATACTTTGTATTGATTTCATTTGCATTCAATGAATGGATGCAAGACAGTTGTAGTTGGGGAGTCTCTAGACTCCCCGAGTTGGGAGATTATGTATACTCCCTGAAGATGTTCTCATTCCAAAGTCACTGGGAGTGTAAGTTCAAGAGTGTTGTAAAGGGATGAAGGCGAATGATTGATGCGTCTTTATAGTGCTATATCCTTAATGGAACACTAGAAGACCCTAAATGTTACAATGTTTCTTTAATTTATTAGTTTGGGTGCCTTCATTTATGATATGTTTTATGGAAAAAAGTACTAGGCTAGATATAACTATAGCAGCATTAATTTAATGCTATAGAAAGAGTTGGGTGTAAACATTGAGGTGGACAGGAAAGCTTTAAAAATTAATGGTACTGTATTTCCATTGATTATTTCAGGTTCAAGAATTCTGGCCCAAGGAGATAACATTCCAAAGGATCAGATTTACCCAATGAGGTTGAAGGGTATAAGCATCTGCTTCTCCATGCTCAAGGCAGCCTTGTGTGGCAGCTACGTCAACTTTGGAGTCTTCCGCCTGTATGGGGATGATGCCTTGGACTCTGCATTACACACCTTTGTTAAATTGCTGCTTTCAATTCCACAGTCTGATCTCTTGGTTAGTATTTTTTGGTTAATTTGGGAAAATTAAGATATAGGTAGTAAAATCAGTTGGCTTTATTTGTTCTCATAAGCACTGTACTCTTGTTGAACGGTGATTGTCAGAAGGGGCGTATTTTTCCTCATGGCCTCATTCCTTCCTCTGATGAGTATTTTCCTTTGGCAGCACTCAAACTGAAGCTCTCCCTATTGGTATGTCACATATTTTCAAGCTCCGTACAGTCCATTGCTATTTTTGTATCTATTCTTGCTTCCCAGTTTCTTTCTCTCCCTTTTGTGTATTGGTTACATCAGTTCTTGAAGCATTCCCACAAATGCCATCTTCTGTATATGTGTGGGAAAACTACTCACATGATAAATGGATGTGTACATGAATGTCTGAATGTTTTGTATATAGATATGAATGAATTTATATCATGTATATATTTGTAGCAAGAGAGAGAGTTTGTGTATGTTTGCATGATGTGTGTGTGTGTGTGTGTGTGTGTGTTTTGTGTGCATGTGCATGCAGGTTCCTTCCTGTACACACATACATGTTTGTTTGTTGGTGCATGCTTGTGCATATATGCATACATGTGTGCATGTGCATGCATATGTGTCTTGTCTATATGTTTGTAAATGTTTGGATGAGACTGAATGAAAGATAGGATTTGGTTAAAAAAAATAATACATGAAAGGCTATCCAGAGGATGGTACTTGGTGAAAAATGACCACAATTCAACCTGGAAAAGTCTCGAGTTGAAGACTGGACTGAGATTTTTAACCCTTTGACGTCAGTTACTGCATGGTCTGCATTTTGAGAAGTACTCATTGATTATCGTAGGGTCTGCGTTTTTTTTTTTATATGTGCGTCATACATTTAAACCTCTCACACTCTATGTTATTCCCCTGAGGCTCTTATGAGCTCCCACTTGATGCCACAGTACAGTACAGTCTGTGCTTGTTTTGAATATTTATATTTCTTTACATGGTTTCTTGTTAGTATGTAATTTATTTAAGTTTTTATGTTCGTAATTCAGCACCAACAACAATCAACCTTAAGTTTTGGTTGAAAACATATTAATTGAGGTTATGAAGGTAATTATTGTGCCTAGAATATTAATTTTACATGAAAAGTTCTTATAGCTACACAATATTATTTTCATTATCATTCTTGGAAATCATTAAATTCTGTTGTTGTGGGTGGGGGTCCCTCCAGGGAACACATCAATCAAAATCAAAGATCAAATATAAATAGTTTTAGATTAAAGCTGACCATATGATCTTTAGTGTAATAACTGTAACTGATTTCTTTATGGAGGACGGAAGGACAAGGGGTGGGTGATTGCCATGTAACCCTATATAGTAAAGGTGAAAGACAGAAGAAGGAATAATAAATGTGAGAGAACAAGATGTTAAACCAATTCCAAATTAGAAGAAGTTCTCAGAGTTTAACCAAAAGCACACACTATAATTGTAATGGTTAAAGGCAATAATTAAAGTGATAATAAGTTATAAGACTAACTCACCTCAGTAATACTTGTCAAGAGTTTAATCTTGATTCAGTACCGGGTATGCAAAATTGTACACTGCAGAAAAAGCAACAAAGCTTTTCTATAGATATTTTTTCACAACTTATTTAAGTTTCTGCAGTGTATTGTACTTAAGGTGAGGTGACCTTGCCCCTTTATATCCTGTACTGGGTATTTTCATTATAATAATGTAACAATAATAATAAATAATAATAATAATAATAATAATAATACAGTAATTCATAGTAAATAAAATTTATAATAAAAAATAATAATAACTCTGTAATATTAATATTAATAATAATAATAATAATAATAATAATAATAATAATAATAATAATATTAATAATAAAAATAAAAAACCATAAATACAAAAAAAATAAAAAAAAAGATCAAAAGTGAGAAACAATATTTGTATGTTGTGTTGTCAATACTAAGAGAAACAATTGAGACCCTGCAATTGTGTGTGAATGAGGCAGAAAGTCAGATCAGCAACCTGGGACTTGGTCACAATTTTCGTGATGCCATATGGCATCAGGGTCTACCATTAGACAATACATTATGCTTCCAATATCTTCTCAGGCGGTAGTACCTCCCTGTTTGGTAGCTGCCTACTACCTACTACCTATATATACTACGGTATTATATATATATATATATATATATATATATATATATATATATATATATATATATATATATATATATATATATATATATATATATATATATATATATATATATATATATATATATATATACACGAGGGTACCACCTCTGGTTGGATTTGTTCAGGAAACCATAAACTAGAGAATATGGCTCATTCATGGAAAATAAGGATAATTATTCTTGCATTTTAAATAGACATTGTTTTCCCCTAACCCCACCTTTTTATATTATTATTACTGTGTTTCAAATATTATTTATTTATACTATACAGTATATATCAAATAAAAAAACTCCCTTGAGCTCCTCGAGGAAGGGAGGAGATCCCAGTTTGCAGCAGTATTCTCTCTGGATCGCTATACAGTACTTAGGTGCGAGAACAAGTAACTTGTCTCTCTGGACCCCAGTGCATTCAGGTACTTCAGGGCTTTGTATAAACAGTATACAATATATGAATAATTTTTTCTGATCCTAATATTAACCAGATAGATTAAGTTACCAGAGGTGACTCCCTCCCAAGTTAGAAAGTACATATAAAAGTTTGAAGTTTATAACTTCAAAGTTATCAGCATTTAGAGCACCATATACTGTAAAGCAAAGACAATACGGAAAAGATATCATCATCTGTTGAACATATACCCAGTACTGTATTGCTTGATTTTGTGAAGTTGGGTATCCAAAACTACATTTGTAATTTTTATTCATTCCTCTTTCTTATTTTCATTCTCAAATCTTAAATTGGTAAGCAAAGTTTTTATTTTGAAAAAAAAAAACGGTGGTCTGTTGTTTGTCTAGCATTGCAGAAATATATGTAAAAACAATGAAACCTGGAGAATGTTAATAAACTTGCACATTTAAATGATCCTCCTGGGAGGCAACATTGTGCACAATGTTACTGACAGTTGGAAGGTGAGCGATAGGTGTACAGCACTGCTGCCTTCCATTTGCAAACTCATGTTTTTGTAATTCATGAATATTAAACTTGCATCACCAATAACCTGCACTTTTCCCATGTATGAGCTTTTTAAAAAGCAGATCCTTAGTGTCCCCCATAGAGACTACAGCATTCCTTGTAATGTCTGTGGCAGTCCTGAGCTGTCACCATACTCCTCAGGGCTTGCAAGTATATAGCTACATTGCCAAGTAGTAATTTTTCACGTTTGATTTGTTTAACGAACCTCTACAGTTGTCAGGCTGAATCAAATTTCATTTGATTCATAAACACCGGAAAGATACACCCTCCTTTACCCCGACAACCCTTGAATGTGAAGCAAATGTGAAATTGCATACCAGTGTTTGCTATTGAGGTCAGTATTGCATAGCAGAGTTGCCATAAAGTTTCTCAAAATTATATTACCTCATGTATTTTTTGCACTTCATCCTCCATTAGCTTCCTGTTGGAATACATACATATTTTTGCTTTGGCTATCCCGTTTCTTTTTATGCTTAATCTATGCTACTGTAGAAGCAGCTGGTAAAGAAGCATTAGGAATTCATAAAACATTTTTGAGGAAATCAGCATGTTGGTGTGATTATTGCATAAATGAACCACTCAGAACTTGTATTAATAAATACAGTTAATTGAAAATAAAATAAATATTCTCATTTTACACAGTTGAGAAAAGAAAATTAGGGAAGCAAAAAAGTAAAGGTTTTAATAAAGAAAAACTGTAATAAGAGTTGAGATGAATTATTGTTTTCTTGCTGTGGCACTTAAGTGTGTGTGAGAGTGCTGTATTGGGAGTGTAGCCAAAGAAAGTAATAGGAAAGAACCATATTTTGTTCTACCTGGAGTGTGTGAGGCCAGTCAGTGTATCTCCAGATAATTGTATTTTAACTTATATCATTTGAACAGCAACTTTGTGCTACATACTTGGATTATTGAAGCCAACCAATTAACTACCTAATGATATATTGTTAGATTTCTTTAATTACCAAACATGTGTTCCATGGGTAACCAGCACCAATTTATGAGTATTATTACTTCACTGTCTTTTCTTCTTTTTCATCTTCTTTCTTTAATTTTCTACCTTATTTGTCTTACTTTTTCTTCATCTGTCATTTTTCTTTGTCAGCATTCTTCAACTTTAATCTTTTTCTTCAGTCTTCTTTCTTCAGCTTCCTTCTTCAGTCTTCTTTTTTCAGCTTTCTTCTTCAGTCTTCTTTCTTCATCTTTCTTTTTCAGTCTTCTTCAACACCATGGATGTGCACCATATGTTACTGAGACTGTTAACTACCTTAGTGTTAAGTTTGTTGATACCAAAGACCTGTTGATAGATTATTGGGGGAAGTTGTGAATATCCCCTCCTTTTGAATGTAATGAAAAAAATTCTATATACAGTATATCGATCAGTTTCTTCTCCCGCCTTCATATGAGATGGCTGAAGGGTTACATAAATGTAAAAAACAAGTAGGATGGAACAGTGCTAAAGACACTTGTAGAAATTGACAGGATAAGGCCAAGACTCATAGAAGTCACACATATGCTAGTTAATCACCTCAGCTTTAATATACTGTATTTTTTGCAAAATGAATCCTTTGCCTACATTTTGTGTACTGTGTGTGTGTAAGTTGAGGATATGAACAGTTTGTGTAGGTATATCTACTTGTTCCTTCCCTGAACACACCCACCAAAATTGCATCATTGTGATTTTTAGCAGGGCTTTAAAATCAAGAGTCAGTAAGATGCTGCCATTCTTTTTTTTCAATATATTACTCAATAAATCAAGGTATATGCATGAAAGAAACATTGTTCCTAACAAGAACAGGACAATGCATGCATTATATAGTACTAAAATAATTCTAATAATTTTTGGTTAGTCAAGAAATAAACATATGAAGACATAGGAATTTAATACTGCAGTACAGTATATTACTCAAGAACAAAATCATCAGTATTAAATGAACTAGAATTAGAGGTTGTTTGTTAAATAGAAAAACACCAATTTATATGTACATATTAATTAAATTAATATTTTTAATTGTTGGTTTTCAAAGGAATATATCTTTTGATCACAGGTGTACCCAAAGCTGTCTCAGACTTATTATGTGCTGCTGGAATGTCTTGCACAGGACCACATGAATTTCTTATCCACCCTAGAACCCAACGTATTCCTCTATGTCCTCTCCTCCATATCTGAAGGACTCTCTGCTATAGGTAAGTTATTTCAGTTTTTGAACTCCAATGTAAATGTGAATTAATGTGTTTCTTCCCAGCCAGGATATGTATATTGTGCAATAAGAGTATTCATACATCAGTATATTTAGCAAGATATTGGATTGGATTGGTAGCTCAAATATTGAAAGGCATAATGTGCTGAAGTAAAGAAGGGGAAGAAATTAAGCCATTAGGTTAGATTAGATTTTCTGTGGGGAGAACCTAAGAGTTAATGTCGTATGTACAAGTACTGTAGGTAGAAAACTGGGACTGTAACAGTTGGTGGATAATTGTGTGCAAGTGGTTGACTTAAATAGTGTACAACGTGGAAAGCAAATGCTGAGGTAATGCATAGAATGAGAAATAGATTTTGGAGAGAGATGTGGGATAGAAAATAGATGAAAAATGTCTTAGGATACTAAATTATTGTGCATATAATAGAGGGAGAATGAGTTTTGTTTATCTGTGTCCGTCTGTGAATATTTTTTGTGGGGATGGTTACTGTATGTAAATTAGGTGGGATTTGATGAGGGAGGGTTGTAAAAGTGAACTGGGGATGGCTTTATTTTGGAGTACGTATATAGTATTTATGAGAGAGCTCTCCTGAAGGAAGAATTTACTAAAATATGTAAGATTTAGTGTACGGTGCAGAGGGGATTCTGCATGGTTTGCATTATTGGCATTTTTGTATTGATGAAAAAGACATGGAGATTGGATTAGATGACAATGCCTTAAAGAAGGTGAGATTATCTAGGCAGACTATGGATGTCATTTGAAAAAAAAAAGATAATAATTTACTAGTAAGGGAATAACACTACAGTATATACAATATTGAATTGGTCTCCTTTTCACTGCCTTTGCACAATCTTATGTTAAATACTTACTATTTTGTGATGTGATTCACTTTCTCTATAGATACTGTTTGATCTGTCTGAAGAGGTAAAGTCAATGCCTTTCTTAATTCGCCACAAGCTGAACATCAGAAACTTTATATTTCCACACACATGTTCATATTTCCTTAGTTTCTTGATTACTTTATTTTGGGCACACAGCTTTTAAATACTGTACTGTACTAGGGTTAGATACTTTATAGGGAAAATTTCATATAAAGATATTTTTATTTGAAATGCAATCATACACAGAAAATGGGAATATAGTACTGTACACAAAGAAATTTGTGTATTGTACTGTATTCAAATCTTTGTATGGAGTGTGACTCCAAACTCCTTTACCTTTGCATAATAATAATAATAATAATAATAATAATAATAATAATAATAATAATAATAATAATAATAATAATAAAACAAAAATAAAATAATAATAATAATAATAATAATCATAAAAAAAAAAATTACCTTGATTTAAGTTTTTATAAGAGGCCTTTAAGTTTGATAACATTGCATGTTTGGCCAGACTCGACTGTTGCAGGGAAAGCACCACCCACAATTCAATACTTGAACCCATCAGCAGAACGTGAGTGTCACTGTAAGGCCGAGGCTGGTTCACGATTTCACTAGTATCAGTAAAGACTTTAGTTGTTGTAATAAATACTATAATGCTTCTTAGCATGTGAGTAAGGAAAAGAGATCTTGTGTGTTTACCATGATCCTCAGTATAGTACTGTATTTCATTTTTGAAGTCCTGCAAGTATTGTACAGTAGTTTCCCTCCTGTTGTATGTTGAGAAACATGCATACCTTGTGTGCTATATTGAACATGATGTTTAAGACATCGGAAATTTTACATTTGTTTATTATTAATATTTGATTAGCTTTTTAAACAGAAGTATATAAGAAAAGTAAATTAAATATTGCTTTGTAATTTTTGCATTATTTTTTAAAGAAAAATATGAACACTTGAGAAGTAACAAATGCAGAAGCTGTAAGTGTGTTAAGTAAGGAATTTGGGGGAAAGATAGAACAGATGAGGTTTTCTATGGCCACTTTTTGATTCATGAACCCTTGTGCAAAATTTACTCTGTTATTTGAAAGTCCTGTTAGGAGGAACAGGTAGTTCTGCTGTAACGCGATAATTGTGTTCTTGTAAAATATCGTGTTATAGAAAATCGCGTAATAGAAGTAACAGGGCTTATGGAGAAAATAGGGTTAGGTGCAGATTACTCGAAATCGAAAAAATTTAGTAGTTAGCCTAACACAAAGGATAGCACAGTCTAAATAAATGTTACATTCATATCTAATAATGAAATCATACAGTAAATGTAACACTTTACCTTGAAAAAATATGAATGTAACTTGATGGGGGAGAAGGGTGATTTTGAGGTTGATAACATCGAGCTTCTCTTCAAGTGTTATATCCTTTCTTTTACGATCATCACCGGGAATTCTATCACCAGAACGCTTCTTGGAGATATTCTTCTTTACCATATTCACAGTTAATACCACAAAATTGGAGAAATAGTAAGCAAAAATCGCGTTATAGCAAACAAGCGTTCGCGTTATACAAATATCGTTCCTAATTCATAAATCGCGTTAGAGCAAATTCGCGTTATCAAAACACGCGTTATAGCAGAACTCACTGAACTCTATTTCTATGCCTGGAAAGTGTTCTACAGAGAATTAAAAATGTACCTTGTGATTAAAATGGTTAATTTTAGGAGTATTTCATGATGTGACAATAAATCAGATATGTATTAGCAAGTGGACATGATTTAGTATGTTTTACTTGTCATCACCACAATTCTAATTTGAATAGTGAAAGAAGTGGTTGATACAAACTTTTAATGCTGTTACCAGCTTTGATAGTTTCAAGTCCGTGTGTAACTTTAATGTGCAGGTAGTGTACATTAATTCTAAATACTTTATAATAATTACTATATTACGTTTACAAGTACAGTAATCCAGTTTTGTATTAGGCTAGATGGCTAATGTTTTAATCCCTCTAGGATTTTTTCCTTTTCTTTCGTCTTTTCTTCCTTTGCCGTCTCAGTAATTTTTAGAAATATCAGTTGAGGACACCTAAATTTTTCTGGGGTGTAACGTTTATGTGAATGTCAACAGGTGTAGAGAAGTGTAAGTAGGAACATCAGATTACAGGAGACCTATTCGACTAAAGCAACATTATCTGTTGAATAATACCATTAATCTATTACAGCCAGCTATAAATAATGTGAGTCTTGATCGAGATTCATAAACATTTTAATTGTTGATATTATAAGTGAAAGTATTTAGCTTAGGCAGTCTTGACGTAATTCTTATTCTATTTGAACATTATTTTTGTTTTATCTTAAGTCAGCCAATCAGGTATATTTTACATATCCAGTTATGAAGGAAACTCTACGTATGAATCTTTGAAATGAAAATCTAACCCATATTTATTGTTTGAAATTCTGGATTTTTGTTTAAAATCTTCGATATTTTATTCAATAAATAACTGACAGTGTCATCTTTATCTTCAAATCACAGATCCTGTGTACGGTAAGGCAACCCAGAAGATTTAATGCAAACAGCTATGTATTATTTTAATTTTAGTTTGTTTTGTTAGTTTCCCTAACAATATGCATCCTTTAGACCTATGTGTTCAACCATACACTAAAGCATTTTTTCAAAAAAAAATTCTAAAAATGAGGACGGAATAAGGTAGCAACGTAGTTGATGGTATTATTATAGAGCACTTGGAGATTCTGTATTTTTTAGGCATTGTGGTGTTTAAACTTTGGTCATAACCAGAAAGAGAGGTTGAGTGATTGTGCTTTCATGCATATTGGGTGTGCACTTGTATGTTAAATAAATACTGAGCATAAACAAAGGTTTAAAATGAGATTAAATATAACTATCTATAATCATCTGATACATACCACTGTTAGAAAATCCAAAACACAAAAATAAGGTGTCAAGTGCAGTGGTAGCTTAGAGATCACAGTAATAGATATACTGTACTGTATGAGGCACCCGATGAACATATATTTTGTGAAACTCAAAGTGAATGATTTAAAAAAATGGAGTTAGGAAAAGCTACATTATTCAGTGTTGCCCCAACTGTCATTTGCCTCACACATGCAAAGTGAGCGCTACTGGAATGTGACAAGAGTGCTTCTGTTGCCAAAAGGCAAAGGAAATCTATTTAGTTAGAAGTGAAAATGAAAGTAATTGAGCTGGTTGAACTATAAGAGCAGTATGAAGAGGCAGCTGTTTGCTTGGTGACTACCAAAAGACTGAAAAAAGCATGTCACCATTCAACAAACTGAGACACTAACCACACATGCAACTACCGTAGTCTCTTCAGATATGCTACCAAGAAATTTTTGTTTAAGATTAAATAAAACAAATACTGTATGTAAAAAATAAATACCACACCACACACACAGCCATGCATGGGAGCATGTGGATGACAGCAGTAGATGAAGCTACCAAACTTGCACACTTATGCTCACATCTTGGCATACACTAAATTGGAAGTCATGTGTATTTTTGAGTGTTAAAAACCTTTAAATTTTGGTTTTTGAACTTTGACTGTAAAATTATTATTGATTTTTATTTTATATACTTTATGCATACATAGAGTTCTGTACATAACACATGGTGCATTACATAATACTGTATTTGTTACACATGCTCTCTCTATAACTTGTACACGTCACCTTCTCTCTATAACTTGTACACGTCACCTTTTAACATGTTTTCCTGTAGGATTATTATCTTCACATTTACTCATTTTGATTTAACAAGATACTTTTTAGGAACTTACTAGTCATGTTAACTGAGGAATACCAGTACAGTACAGTACAGTATATACAATGGAGTAATGAATGGTGGAAAAAGTGAATGAGGGATTGCTCAATGGCTATAGGCTTAGAGAGAATGATTTGAAGAAAAAAGGTGACTATTTTGGGAGGATATATGAATGAGGTAAACTGAAGAACAAGTGGAAGACTGAGAATAAAGAGAAGGGTCAGAATATGGGAGTGCATGGCTGAGATAGTTATGAATACAGAGTAATGTTTTGGTTTGTTTGAGAATAAGGAGGAATGGAAGAGCTTTTGCTGTGCCACTGCTGGATTTGGATACAAAAAGTGAAGAAATTGAAATAATAATGACAATAGAAATAAGGAAACTAATCAATGCCAATGTTTCAGAGATTATACTTTGAAAGAATAAAAATACAGGGTGTCCCGAATGCTGCATCATGTTCCTTAGTTAATCAAGTTTTTTCTTTACAGGTGCAGTGGATTTGAGAGGTATTATCTTGGTGGAGAAGATAAGGAGTAACAATGGCATCTAATTAAGAGAAAGCGCAATGTGTTGTCTGGTTTGCAGAGATCAAATCAGTGACAACTGTGCAAAGACAATACTGTCAGAGGTATGGTAAAGAACCACCCTCAGAACCCAGCATTAGGGCATGGTTTCAAAAGTTTCTGGAAACAGTCAGCGTTTGTGACTTGCCCCTGAAGTGGACGCCCAAGTATGTCTGAAGAGTCCATTGAATCTATTCAGGAAGCATTACAACAAAGTCCTAGAAAGTCTGTTCGAACTGCATCAATGGAGCTTCATCTACCGAAGAATCCTTACACCGAGTCCTCCAAAAACAGTTTGCACAGTTGTCACTGATTTCATCTCTGCAAACCAGACAACACATTGCACTTTCTCTTAATTAGATGCCATTGTTACACCTTATCTTCTCCACCAAGATAATGCCTCTCAAATCCACTGCACCTTTAAAGAAAAAACTTGATTAACTGAGGAATATGATGCAGCAAACTGTATTACTTTATCCCTTTTGGTTTTTTAGTAATAAATATTTAAAACCGGAAAGAGACTTTCGAGACACCCTGTATTTGCAATATGTAGGAATTTTACATTGTATATACTGTATGTGTATGTAACATATGTACTCGTGGCAGGAGAGAGAGGAATAGGTGTAGATAATGAAATTAAGATGCGCATCTGTTGTAGATTGTACAGAAATAAGTTTAGAGAGAATTGCAGTGTATCACTACACAGCACATAAATCTCTGGCACTGTTATAAGAAGATTGTCTCACCAATTGTGTTACTATACCTCCTGTATCAGCCCAACACAAGAAAAGACAGTGATGCTTCACCAGGCATTGTTGATGTACCGAACAATAAATAATATTATTATTACTTAGAATTATAGTAGCCTTTAAAATAGTACTTAGAAATGTGTTTAGTTTCATTTTATTATGTGTTAAGAGAATTTTTTCTAATGGGAATTAATCTCTCAATTTATAACGGTTGTCAATGGGATAATCCACCTTAATTTGGGTTGCGATTTGCGGAGGGCTTTCAGGAACGCACACCCTTCTGTAAATCAAGATCTTCCTGTTGTTAAAAAAATAAGCTGCTGTACTTACTGTACTGTATTGTTATTATCTGTTATGCAAGTGGCTGTAATTTTCATAATAGCATGTTAGGTTTTATAAATCAGAAACACTTGCTCAGTGCTTAACAGAATGCTCCTTCTGAGGTTGTGGTTGTAACTGCAGACACCCACCCATAATCCCCACTCTCAAGTATACAACAGCCATGTCATTGGTGGATTAATGAAGATATGAGCTGAATTTTGAACCCCATACATTTGTGACTGACATTAGATATGGCAACTAAAATACTTCATTTGCTATAAACTACAGTAGCTCATCGTCTAATGGAAAAATAGTTTTCCAGCTACGACTGCACTTTTCTGGGTGTTTTAACTAGATTGTTATTACTTTAACAAAGACCTGTAATAACTGAAGTTGAAAAGTTGATGGTGTTACCTCAGCATGCCATTCCTCCAATTTTTCTCTACCGCTGAATGTACAAACTCTAACCAGTTAGGGGAAAAAACATCCAGTGAGACCTGTGTTTTATGCATGTTGATTTTCTTTGGTGTTTGGTGCATTAATTCGGTATAATAACTTGTAGGATAAGGTTATTTTGATGGAAAAGATTGGAGGGCATCTTAGATCATTTAAAAAGTTAAATAAATTGTACCATAAGAATCATAGATGTGTTGAAAGGAATTATTTTTGTACTTAATAGAAAATTTTAATCTACCTTTGTGAAAGAAGATGTTTGATAAACATTTTAGCATCAGGTTATTCATAGGCTTTTCAAGTTATTTTTTCAGTAAATAAGTAGGAAGAAGAAATGGGTTAGAATTTTAGATACCAGTATATAAAATACAGTACAACATGCTTTGAATGGAGTTGTTACAAGATTGAAGATGGTGTACTAGAATTTAAATGATATATCTGGTAAATGTTAAGAAGAAATAGGTGTGTTGAAGTGATATTGATATGTAGGGATGATGAAAGAGTGTGTGTCATGTTGAAATGATATTACAGTGTTATGTTTAAAAGGCAAGAGTGGGTCCTATTGTATATGCCTGACAGCCAATTATGGATAGTGTGGAGACAACACATAAAAGACTAAAGTTTGGGCACACATGGAGACAGCATGGTCAGTACAGCACTTTATCACCTTTCACTACCCCAACTGTAAAGTAAGTTAGGTACCCATTCTACAGTTGTGTTGACTAGGAGTGCCCTCACGCATTGGCTGGCCACAACTTAAGGCTGTATTCACAATTGTCATGCCTGATCGTGAGCCTGATCATCGGGAACCCAAAGCTCGTGTAGGGAGAGGTTATTCAAGAGCGTGCTTTGGGCACTACGATGGGTTGACCGACAGTTGGTGTGCTGTGAGTCGGCTATCACAACATGGCGTGGGAAATATGGATAGCCATGAACATAGCGTACCACTGTCTTTTCAACAGTGCAGTGCTCTACTTAGCCTCATTCAAGAGAAGGGAAAAATTATAAAAGATGAGCTGGAGCTGTTGCTGCATGCTCATGATCAGCTGGGATTATTTAACACTGTTAAATAACTGACAATCTTTGAATGTATAAGGAAACAAGACTTTCTGTCACCAACAAATTCATTTCCTATCAGTTTTGAATATGCTCTAGTGGGACTGACTTTGGGTCTGTAGGCATCTATGAATAACCACACACGACAGTGATCCCGATTGATCAGGTGGTGTAACGACTGTGAATACGGCCCTTAAAGTGGTGACTGTTGGTTTAGTGTAGTGGGGAAGAGATGTGAAAGATTCTGTGTAATATGAAAGTGATGTTGACATTTAAGGAAGTTGAAAGGTTGTATGTAGTGCTAAAATAATGACTGCAAGCCAAGTGACTGGATATTAGAAGAAATTTACAAGTGGATGTATGAGCTGGATGTAGATAAAAGTATTCCAGAGAAGATTCTACATCAGATACATTTCTGTATTTTGATGATCAACTTATAATCTGTACATATCAGGGTTAATTATTATTTTTTTTGTGATGTACTGTACTGTAGTTTGACACTTAAGATATTTTAATTCATTTAAGGGAAAACTGAATGATAAACTTTTAATCTTATTCACTGGTTATGGTGAGAGTTAATATCAACCACCCACTGATTATAAAGTTATTTAAGTATTTCTGATGTGAAAAGTAGTCTGGAGAAAATGTGGTGGATGTGTATGGTACCCAGTGATATGATGTTTATCACAGGTTTTCTTATTGTTGAATGTAAAATGTTTTGAATCTAATGAATAAGGGTAATTGTAATTTTTTTTTATCTATTTATCATCATTAATAGCCAACCCTGATACTAATGGTGGTTCATGTTTTTCAGACACAATGGTGTGCAGTGGTTGCTGTGCAACTTTGGATCATATTGTCACTTACCTGTACAAACTTTTACACCAGAAAAGTAAGTAAAGGTTTTGAACCACTTAGACTAAGACTTGCATGTGCAACTCTGTCCTGTTGCAGATACGATGGTGTGTACAGGCTGCTGTGCGACCCTAGACCACATTGTCACATACCTCTTCAAAACTTTACACCAAAAGAGTAAGTACTATAATATTTTTGCTGTGACTTTTCAAGAAAAAATCATCTGGCTTTTTTGTGTTTGCATATCCATTTTTATTTTTTATAGCACACTGTATATAGATGCTGTATTTTTTCCGAGTCGTTGAAAAGATTGTTCCGTTTGAAGTCTCCACACTTTTGGTTCTTCCAATTCAGTTTTAGCTTTTTAAGTTAATCTCTTTACTCCCTATATGTAATTGCATTCAATTAGTCATCTGTACTACACTGACTATCTTCCACTTCTTACTAGTTCTGTATTTCAGCTTTTTTTTATCAACAACTTTCTCTGCTGTACAGCAATTTCCTTTGGTTTGTACTTGCCCTTCTTGAAATTTATAGACCCACTCCTCAGAATAGCCTTTCTGATTTTACACAATAATGATTTAACAAGGTACAGTGGTGTGGTTTGTATCAATACATTCAACAAGTACTCTGTCTTACCTGACACTTCCTATTATCTTCCCCCTTTTTACTCGTTTTAAATATCTGACAATTGATGCATCTTTCAGAATTCTTCCTGTGGTCTTGTCTCTGAACATGAAGTAATTCCCTGTTATTAAAAGTGACTTTAATGACTCTATGAGCCTAAATCTTTCTCCAATTCTTGTAACTTAAACATAACCATATTTCTTTTGCATTTACATTTAATTTACCTTATGTATTTTAGTTCAGGCATGTTTGTTGAAGGACATCCACCTCTGGTTGCATATCAATAATTGTTGTACACATTACATTTACAGTCTGTGCGGAAACTGCTGAAAATAATGCATGTTTACTGTTATGTTATATAAATAAAGTCAAGTAACATTTACCACTTCAATTAATACTTTGTAATGTTCCCTTTGTGCTTCAGGCAGACCTTTAGCAAGGTTTTGCAAGAGGTCAGGTGGCAAGTTAGCCCAGACATCCTTGATAGCTGCCTCTAGCTTCGGGATTGATGATGTGTCAGTGTCGCTCAGACGACGCTTAACAATGGACCACAAATTTTCTATTGGGTTGAGATCTGGGCTACTGCTAGGCCAGTCATTAAATAAAGGTACCTCACAGTCTCTGAGCCACTGTATGACACTTTTATTAGTGTGGCATGGGGCACTGTAATGCATGAAAAGGCTTGCCTTATCTTATTAAATGATTCAGGTAAGAAATCACTGAGCAGCTCAAGATAGTTGTACTGATTCATCATCTGGTTCTTAGCGGGGATTACTAGTTCACCAACACCATAATAAATCAAGCCCAAACCATAAGCGAGGCAGGATGATTAACAGTCTTCACTATACTGTGGGAGATATGCATCCGAGTGAGGAGGGCGGTACACCCTCCCTCCACCACTGCCAGTCACAAAAAACGTAGCCTCGTCAGATCAAAAAACACTCCTTCATGTCTCTAAACCGCACACTGCATATTTTTTGCAAAATTTCACTCTGTTTTCCATCTGTCTCTTCGTCAGTAGAGGTTTACGACGGTGCACGGAAGCTCTCAAATCTAAGGGCATCATGTAAGGATTGCCGAACACAGCTTAAGGAGATGTGGCTGAGAAGACGGGGGTCTCTCTCTTTTACTTTGAGTGCTGTGAGGGCGGGATTGGACTTAACTTGGCATGAAATATCCTGAAGTGTCCGTGGAAACAATAATTTAGGCCTACCAGGCTTGGGTAGATGAGCTGGCCACATGTCTTCTCCAAGCTCACAGTAACGCTTCACAAGTTTCTGCTCAATATGCAACCCCACACCAATCTGAGCAGAAATATCTCTGAGTTCATGGTTTGCTTTGTACAATGCAATCACTGCTGCAATGTCGACCCTTGTAGTAAGCCTCCTGGACATCTCTGATGGCCACTGTTGGGGTAATGCACCGTAAACGAGGCAAAAAATGGCCACGGGGCACGCAAACCCCGTTGCCAAGTGTCACCACTTGCCAGCCAACCAAGCGTACTAACATCTCGCGTCCCGGGACAGCCTTCACAACATATGAACTTATTTACGCGAGAAATTTGTTCGTTGGCCCTATCGCAACCTAACTTTCCGCGCAGACTGTACTGATACTGTACTATATTATTTCACATTTGGTTTATCTCTTCGAAGTTATTGCCTTCTCGGTAATCCATTTTCCTTTTGGATAGTTACTTACATTTTCCTCTCACGACATCTGGGTTTTCAATTTGATTTGGCTGGCCTGTCAAATTGACCAGTTCAAGTGTCATCTGGGCCAGTTTAATATCCCAATTTATTGAATTGATCTTAGTTAAAATTTAGTCATTTGGTGTTCATTTCATCCTTCAGTAATATAGTTTCTTCCATTTGTTTAATGATGTGCACTGCATAAATCCTGGACCCTTTGATCCCAGCCTTCACATTATTTATCTTCTGTAGGACTTCAGCAAAGTGAAGATGCCATGTCATCCATTGAGTTTACCTATTATAATGAGGTTTTTGTCAACCTTAAAGAGAACTTTCTGAAATTTTGCTCCTGTCAGTGTTTGTTTTTTATATTATTATGCTTGTTGTTTTTTATACTATTATGCAGTATATAAATGTACAAAGTGTCACTATCTATAACCTATTTTACTAGCTTGTAATGGCACTACATTTTTTGAGTCCTCAGTTTCTTCTTTTTCTTTAGCCGTTATTTACACCAAAAGGAGATACTTTTTACCTGTATATAGGCATGTGGTTTGATGTTCATTCTTTCTTGGTTATCGGTTTCATTGTACAGTATGTCTAAAGTCTTATTTTTTGTTTATGAAAATTTTTATAGTTTCATACTTAAAATAATTGCATATTGAGTATGCTCACTTTTGTTAATTCAGGGCTTATTTGCTATATTTGGCAATGAAAGTCATAGCTGTAGATACTGTGAGTCCTTTTAGTTAATGATTAATTACAGGTGAGGCAAACTGTCTTTCTTAGTACTCGGGAGAGAACTTCTTGACCTGTGCTGAGTTCTAGATTAGTAGATAGTTCCCTCACACCACCTGGTCCATTGTTAATGTCCTCATGGATTGGAGAATTCTTGAACTAATGAGAAAAAGTACAGATACTTACTCAATTAAAATAAAACTTTACAATATAACTTTAGAAACTGATTAAATAGTAGTTGAAATGTAAACCAAACAAATATTAATTTTTTAAAATTAATTGTGTATGTTTCAATGTTCATACTTATAATGAATGCTCAGCAGTATGATTTTCCAAGACTGAATTGAGTTAAATTACTGTAGAAAGGCAAATTTTTCTCAGTAACACAACTATACAGGTGGGAACCCACAAAATTTTTATTGTGCATGTTGTGGTCAGCCTTATTGACTCATTTATTCTGTAATGTAACCTTACACAGAGTTACACTAGTAAATAAAAAAAAATTATTGCAATTTCATATTTCAAGAGTAACTTTTCATTTGTTAATGTGGTTTGCTTGCTTCTTTCAGTTTTCTTTCACCCCAACCACAGGACAAGTTTAATTAACCCTTAAGCCCCGGGTTAGGGTGCTGCTGGCAGTACCCCCCACGCGGGGTTAAATCGAGAAAAAATAAACATTTCCAAAAATAATAATAATTATAAAAAAGAAAAAAAAAAAAAACGGGAAAATAGGCGGACGTTCTGGAACATCACCCAGGGCGCGCTAGTCGGATGTTTTGGAACATCACTCGGGGCCTAAAGGTTAATTAATGTTTAAACTTGCAGGCATTAACTTATTAATGTTTTAAGTAATTTCCATTTTCCTTTCTTTAGAAATGTAGAAAGCTAATGTAAGCCATCTAACTTCTTAATTTTCAGGCAAAAAAGGCACAGTAGACCTGGAGACTGATGCCTTAGTGAAGGTGATGAAACACCAGCCATCCATCCTCCAACAGATGCTAGCCACGGTTCTCAACATCATAATGTTTGAAGATTGTAGAAACCAGTGGAGTATGTCCCGTCCACTTCTGCCACTCATCCTATTAAATAATGAGGTACAGATTTCTTTATTAAGGTTACCTTAGGATTTATTAAAAAAAAATTAAATTAAAATTCGTACATGTTACTTGCTCACAAAAGGTTGTTGGTCAAAACCCTCTTGTACTGTAGACAATTTTGCCATAGTATCCTGAAAGCACCAACATCCTTTCTGTAGTTTTCAGTTATGCCTCTTTCTGATCTGAGCTGTGAGGTTGTGATCTTTCTTATGAGTAAACACTGTGACCTGTTCCTCACCTTATAAAAAAAAAAAGACTAAAGTTGCAATTGAGAGCAGAGAGCTTCCATGGTCAATACAGGAAGACCTCGATTTATAGAAGGGTTATGTTCCTAAAAAGTTGGCTGTTTACCGAATTTCCATATAACGGACCCTATATTCCCATCGAGTCCCTTTATATAATGGGAGAAGCGTTCCTACAGAAAACATTTCTGACCCAAACCTTCATAATACACAAAAAATTTTACCTTTTTAAACACATTTTAATCAAACACTAATATTTAAATATATTTTTATAAATCATATAGTACTGGAGACAATAAACTGTATAAATAGTTGTTCAACATTGTAAAAGTTGTGAAGTGCTGGGGGCAATGAGCAACCCGTCTCCCCCAGCATTTGATTGGCGTGAGACATGAGTGGCGAGCGTGTGAGCTGTGGCCCAACTGACTCTTGGACTTGCTTCCCTGTGCCTGAATGCAGTTGCCGTTTGCGATAAAATATTGTTAGACAAAAAACACACACACACACATTCTTCTAAGAATTTTTTTCCTGCAGGATATATCTGAATTTGAAAAGTTTTCATAGTGGCTTGATAATGTATTAGCTAATGTATGTGGAAAGTCAATGACTTTCTAATGCCCCCATATTCAAATTACATAAAATTATAATTATAGAATGATACTAACTGTCTGTTCGCTTCCTAGACCTCAATAATGGGAACAAATAATAATCTTTATTATGAAAAAAACAAAAACATTATAGTCACGTTTATAAAGTATCAGTAAATAAATGTTCTATTACCACTTTAAGGACTTAAGACACAGTAGGTATGGTTCACTGAACTTTCATTCTTGTAAATAAACTCACGGGTAGACAACATGGCAAGTGATGATAGTACTGTAATGGTAGTATGTGATGATGGTAATTTAGGATGCTTCTTGGTTTATTTGTTGTGGATTTTAGTTTGAATGAAGTTGGATGTTTATTTTTTTGCTTACAGGGCATTTTATATAGTTAGCTTTTCCCCCAAAATTTCTGTAACTTTCGAATTTTTTGAAGTAAAACGAACCTGGGGACTAAAATAAACCTTCCCTAAGTGTCAAATTTCATATAATGAGGCCTTCCTGTATTCTTATTTTAATTTTTTTGGGGTTTAATTTGTATCTATTTTCCCAGAGTTTGTAAGTCAGAGTTTTAATTGTATTCTCTTGTTTATTTTTATTAATCTGCTTTTGTTTATTGAGGGTTTTTTACTATCTTAATTTCTCCAGTATTTTGGCCAACTGAGACAACAAATCATCAGTCAACAAGCACCAGACAAGCAAGGGGCAATGGCACAGTGGTTTGATAGCCTTATGGAAGGTATTGAACCCAATCTTCTCACCAAGAATAGAGACAAGTGAGTATGAAAAAAAAATTTTCTTCTTTTGCATTAAAGACTATAGTGTTAAGAGTAAATAAAACAAATATAAATAAAAGGTGGCTGCATTGTGTGTTTGGTTTGGATTCCGGCAATGCTACAGTATAGCAGGAAAATGCTTGAAATGAATGAAAATAAGACATTATTCTGTAATAGGAATGGGTGTATGTAGTATATAGCCATGTGTGCATTATGCAATAATGTAATTATGTACAGTACTGTATAACACTGAGATGCCAAACAATTAATACTTAATGAAAGTCTCCTGTTACTTATGGTGAGGAGATTTTTTTATTCTTGTCTGAAGTTGTAATTTTATCTACTGTATAATTATATAGGTATGGGACCATTTATCTGGTTGCTGGATATATATATATATATATATACACACACACACACACACAGTCAACCCTCGCTTTACGCGGTCCCACATTCCGCGTTTCCACGTTTATGCGGTACCCTGCCGAAACCGGAATGCTCACTTTCCGCGGTGCGTGTACCCCTTTACGCGGAGAGCGGCGCGAGCAGGGTGCGCACAAGGTCGCCAGTCATCAAAACATTACCGAGTTCTTCACCCGCCACAGTCAGTGATAGTGATAATGATAATGATAGTGAGGATATGGACTTATATGGACTTTGAGGGGTTTGAGATGGGGAGAGGCTGAAAAATATTACCTTACAGTTCAGAGCTTGCAAGAGACTGCACATAATGGAGACATGTCATGCTAACCCATTCAACTGTAGAAAATGGCAATGAAGAGGTGATGATGCTTGGAGTTCACAATTTTCGAGTGGAAATTACCAGATTTTACCAACACATACTACAATCAGAGTTTGCTACCTTGGTACTTTTCACAAGTGTACATCTCAAAATTATCATCTCGCTCAAATAAATTTAGTAAAAGTATCAGTGTAATCAAAGGTTGTAAAATATCTGATTTACAAAAAAATACAGTACTTCTGTTTATATAGTTGTGGAAATGTGCATCCTACACTCCTTGTGGTAATTCTTGTCTCCAAATGGCCAACCTATGTGACCGAAAGCAAACCTATCCACCTACCACGTCTGTCATCACACGACCAATAGCATTCATAAATAAGTGATACTACTACTGCAACATTGCCGTTTGGAGACACAGGTTACCACAAGGGGTGTAGGAACACATTTCCACTTCTGTACCAGAATGTAAATACATTTTTAATTTCCATACTTAACTCTGGCTCAGTTAAGTTTGGAAAAATAAAGAGTTGATTTTGTGTACATTCCCTTATTTATTGGTGCATACATTTAGGTATATCTACCTGAGGTATCAAAATAATTGAATTTTGTAATTGACCAGTGTAGCTGAAATTATTGAAGATAATTTAGCAATGAATTCCTTTTGCAGATTCACTCAAAACTTGTCAGTGTTCCGTCGTGACATAAATGACTCTCTAAAGGGACCAGTTACCAGTAGTGGCGGAGGTAGTGGGAGTGAAATGATGACATCATGACGGCAACACCATCACCAAAATGGTCTCCATTACAACTCCCACCATAATACCAACCACCACCGTCGCCGCTGCTATTCTCTCTCCACCACAACCACATTTACTGATTCTGCCATGACTAACACTACCATTAATGTTGTAGCAGATTCCAATAGCAATCATTGTGCTCATATGTGGTTGACATAATTATGACATGAGTCACTTTGACTTTGCCAATTTTGAATCATATTTTGTAATTAGGGAAGTTTTGCAAATGAAAGGTTACTTTTTTGTACAGAAATGACAAATGGGACCTGACAGAACTATAGTAGCATTATGTGTTTTTCCTAATTTAGATTCATCACAGTCTCACCAAAGGAATTCTGTAATTATCTGTCCATGGTAAAAAGTATGGCAATAACCATGTGCATCCTGACCTGAGCAAACATACTGTGCCTCCAGATACTCCACAGGGAAGAAAATTAGTGAAAGGTTGAATGTACTCAGTCAAGTATCCTGCATAATGAATGTGCAGTTTCTCATGAGTTCATTGTCCTGTGGATGAGTGTCTTCATGACATCAGGGAGTGAGATATGTGAAGAAAATTAAAAAAAAAAAACGCAATAGGAAAAATCCTTTTGAAAAGGATATTTTCATAGGAGACTGTTATGTTAAGAGGTCTTGAGATTTATGAGAAAAAGATTGGATATTAAAATCACATCACCAGGGAAGGATGCAATCAAGAGTTAAAGGTTTATTCACTCTTATTTGGCAATTTTGGCTGTTTTAAGAGCATGATTTGAGTTTTTACAATATTCTTCAATTACTGTATGTGTTTGTATAAACATAAACAGATGTTTGAAGGCAGTACATTAGGTTAGCTTCTAATTTAATTTAAAAAACCGTAAATGAGTTCTCAAAATCATTGTATAATGAGATTGTTATGAAAAGTATTCCAGTGTGTTAAAGTGGACATGTTTGGCTACATCCAGCTGGTTAGTCTTGCTTAAAAAAACAGAATTGGTATTATTAGCCAGTTCACACATCTCATACAACATCAGTGCTCGTGTTTCACAATTTTCATGTCATTAGAGAAATACACATTTTTTCAAACCATTGTAAATTGATTTTATGTACATATTCAACAGGAATTGTGCTAGAGTTCTCTTTTTACATTACTAGAAGTTATTTGCAAGTTAGTGTATACCTCATTCACAAACTCTCCTGACCAGATATGCAAGATATGTCTCAGTAAGAAAAATGAGAGGTTTGCACTTTGCCAGGTCTTTCAAATTGAATGTGAGCCTCTATATGTACAAGGAGAACAGTTGTAAGTACCTATCATCCAGTATAATATGCTCCAACCCATATATACTGAAGGAGACTTGTACAATGTTTCTGTGATGGAATGACATATTGTTTAAATAAAAAGGACAAAGTCTGTTTATTAGTTTTAATATTATTTTCTAAATGTTCATATTCATTTAAGTGGGGATTCACAAGTAGTATATACATTCTTATGCTAGGTGGTCTATAACAATCAGGTCCAGAAACATGGTATCACAGATATATACACCTAAACCATTGCTTTGTCCTTAACCCTCCCTCACTACAGTAATCGTCTCCCTGTTAGCCGGAATAACTGATGCAGAGCTCTTCCAGGAATGCGAGATTTCTGGGTAACGAGACGAATCTCTCGAACCCGGAAAAAATCCTGGAATTTTCCTGGGTAATGGGTAAAGTTTTCCGAGAGTCTGAAATATTCATTTCGTATGGACAGAAACAGAGCTATATTTATTTATGCAAACATATCTGTACACAAACAATATATTGTAAATAAACAAAATACTGTAATGTAAACTACTACTGTACTCACCAGCAGATGCTGTCGTTTTGAGCATACAGTAGGCATACACTGTCCACTCTGCTATGCATGATACCTTATGTAAGGTGTTCACAAACAATATTAAGTTACAGTAAAATACACACTGTAATCAGTTTTATGTCTTAACACCATATTCCTGGCTGTGTCCTGGTATAGTAATGTACAGTACTGGACAATGGAAATTTACGCAAAAACAGGAGGGAGCGAGGCATTAACCTTGTAGAATGGCAGTGGACTATGAACTAAGCGTGTTGTGATGCCGGGCTTAGAATGGATAAGCTGGGAGATGCATCAGCGTATCAGGCATCCCCATACGCATTATTTCACCCTCAAAATGTGTTCCCAAACCTGGATCAGAAAATTTTGGAGAGGTTTTCTTGGAATTTTCCAAAAATTGCACCTAATTTTCAACCCTAGAAAGTCATTCACAGACCTGAATTGAAGAGTTGTCCCTGAAAAAATTCTGAGCCAATTTCAATTCCGGGTACAGTATTGGAGAGTTCCTGCTAACAGAGATACTGTATTGTTGTGTATTAACATTTGAGGCACAGCCTTCCAGAGGCATCCTGCCACCAGGAAAAAAGAAAGTCAGGAAGAAGGAATTGTAGGCCAAGCCAAGGTTCTGTAATGCTTTGGCCTTCATTTTACCCCTTTCTTCAATATTCCTAAACTGTTTTGTTGCATCAGACTGTGAATTTAAACCTGGGGTCCCCGGGTTAACACTTGGATCTATAGTTGATGCAGTATAACACCGCAAACAACAAAAGTAAGTATAAAAACTCCCACAAGGGAGCATGTACTGATTTAAGCGTGGGCCTGGGAGGAAAACGTGGCGCAGTGATTGCTCAATATGATGGGCTGGCTTGCTTGGAGCATAAACTGAATTCAGCTCAGCAATTACAATGTCCAATATAATTTTTACCCATAATGATATGAGAGCCTTTCAGTTCCTCAACCAGCTTATGACACACACCATCAGATTCTAGACACTTCCTGTTACAATCTTCCACCATAAACAGCATTTCGATTTTTGTGGCGATAAGGTGGGTTCGGAAGGCAGGGCCTCATTTGTACCTTCCTCCAAGAATGACCCCTATCCTTATGCTCAGCATTTGCAGTAAAAAACTTGATCAATGTGCACTGTTACTCCCCTGCAACTCACTTGGAATCTTAAACTAGAATGCGCTCAGTTGCATAACTCGTAACGTTCATAATACTACTTTTTCAACTGAACGGCAGCATAGTCGGGAACTCATAAGTTTTCGTAATGCTATGTAGAATATAGCTCCACAGTGCCGAGATGTTTATAAACGAAAAAGACTGCAAATGGAGGAGAAGCATATCGTTGCAGTGACTGATTTTGTATACACACATACAGATGTGCAGTAAGTATTGCAAAGACTCAAGTACAGTATACATAATTACTGCATTGCAATCAATAAAATAACTGCATGGTAAGCCATTATTCCTGCAGGACACCTCCAAGACCCATGCCATGATAAGCGTAACTTAGCAACCACCCAGATTTGTTTATGTTGTGCAAGATGATGCCACAACTGTTCATAATGCGCTACGAATTTCCATAGTGTACAGAGCATGCAACTGAACCCAGCCCTGCAGTGACATCTAAACTTCTTGTTGAGTTGAATAATTCTACATGTTAGCCAAGATACCATTAAATATATTTTCACACAGAGATTCAATAACACAAGGCCACAACGAGACTTCGCTTATCAAGTTTACGTGCAGTAGTTGAGAAGTATAGGAAAAGATGAATAAGATAACTAGTGAATCACTAAAAATGAATTAAGAGCATTAAATAATTGAAACTTGACTTGGAGAGAAATTTTTTATTATTTGTTGAGAGTGTTTGTAATGGATTAAGAGAAATTGTGGCATAAAAGAAAGAAAGAGTGAATAGTATTAGGAAAGTGGTAGAGTAAGAATGTGGCCAAATAACCATCAATGGGAGAAGGGTAATCTATTCATTTCTCTCACAATAGTACTAATTTGTACACCTCAGGCCAACAACTCTACTACCTGTACCACCCAGTTTAACACACAAGACTTAAAAAACTTGTTAATTAGTGATCAAGAATGACTGGGAATACTGTTCAATAATATATTCAAGACAAGATTAAAACTACATAAAAATTAGTATACAATAATAGTACATTATTTTGATCAATGTTACTAATATCAGCATTTGGCTTGTAAAGTATAATCTGGGTAGGCTTATACTATACTACAGTACTCATTCTAAATAATACATACCTAAATAGTATATATACAGTACTGTATATGAAATGTGCACAAAATTACATCAACAACAGAAAATTGCTGAAGTTTGCTACAAATTCAAACTAAAGAATAACAGTCATTATTTTTTTCTAGAATTTACTGTGAATACATAACATCAAGTGAGGGAGAGTCTCTGTTGTTCTTGATTCCAGCCACCCTGCGCCAAAGTGAGACAGGGCTTGCAAGAGTGGAAAAAAAATATTGTAAGTCAGAACAAAATCTGCCAAGGTTATACTTACCTTACAAAATACTTGTACTATAGGTATAATTTTGTATAAAAGTTATTCACCCAAGTAATGATTAATTGAGGTAAGCGGTGGAAGAGTGACGTACTATATGTGCCAAAAATGCAAGCTAAGATAATTGACGTTAGAGTTTGCTTACACTACTTTTAGCATACTTTGTATCTCCGTAACCCATCACATGATTTTGATAGTGAAGGTGTTAAAAGATATGTACAGTATTTTAATGAAGTTTTAGAAGTTGCCAGGGTGACACTAGCCATAAAGTCAAGTATAAATTAGGGAGTCACCTGAGAACCTACAATATATGGTCAATAAACATTAATGAAAATGTTAATATAATAATACTCACAAGCTCAAGAGAGATGCATCCTCACACACACGTCATATTCACATAAGATTCACCCCAACTTCTTTTTATTTCTTCACTACTTTTTTTCTTCTTAGAGAGGTCATAAGCACACTTCCTCAATCATCCATGGTTTTCCCCCACACCTTCACTTTCGGGGGAACTCATTATGTGAAAATAATGTAGAATAATCACGTGCATAGTGTCTGCTAATGGGAGTACTGTACAACAAAAAGTAACTGTTTCTTGCATACCTCCATACAAACCTTTGAATGCCAGGCCACTGATTAGCTGCGAGCTTGATATTACAGCATCGCTAGCCTCTGATTGGCTACACTAAGTGATTGATAAGCCAGCATTCCTACCAGCTGAAGGAGCTATTGTACCATGCCAGTATCACACAAAAGAACAAAAATCCTATGTTTTTCCTTAGCAATTTTACCTATCCCAAAACATATATAGTTTTATTAAAATTCCTCTGGCAACATGCTGAAACAAAGATACTGTATTGTTTATCCATGGTTGATAGACAATTCACTCTTCCACAGAGGTCCTCAATTCTCATCCTGTGATCAAATATCAAAAGGAGTAATAACACTAAAATTAGTGAGATTACAGTATGGTATATACTTTACTGATGCCTGACTAAATATGCAGTATAAATGGGCATCCATTCACAACTGTTTTATGTGAATACCAAGATGATTATATATACTGTAAAAAATTATTTTTTATTCAATTACTTTTTACTTATTCAATGAAAAGAAAATGATATAGTACAGTATGTACATTGTACAGTACATACACATGTAAGAGCAGAAAGTGCATAAAAGTTACTAGAATATGATAGTTTATAATTTTTGGATTTATCTATATCAATCATGGGATTCTTTGTCATAGTAATAAAACCCAAATCCTGTTTACTGTTCAGCAACATAATCTTACCATACAACAGCCAATGAAAGTACTAAAAACATTTTTCTTTTTAATGAATCTTTTACTTCACTGATGTCAGAATCTTAATTCACACTACAATCAAAATATGAACCCACTTCTGAGAAATAATAGAAGAGGCTCGGTGTGTCCATTAGAAATGGAGTGAAGGACGCAACAGAAGTGAAGGAGATAGGCATTCAGAGGAGCAGCAGTGGGTGTGAAAGAGCAATGAGTATGACATCAAAAGATATTTAAGAAAGGAAGTGCTGCTGGTGGTGATTCTGGTTATGTGAAGAGAAAGGTAAATTAGATGGACATCTAGGCATTAACCCTTAAAACTCAGGTGACGTTCCTCTACGTCCATAAGTTTCGGGGTATAGTTTGAATATCCAGGCAGGACGAAGTACTTTGTATGGGATATTTATTTGCTTGACAACTCAACTCGCATGTAATCTTTGTTTCAAGTCTAGTGGTCCAGTTAACCACCAGCTATCATGATGGATGCATGTCCTTCGACATTTCATGACCCACCTCGCTCCTACACATCCAAGCGAAGGTGCTCAACAGTAGTGTTATTCGTCAAGAATTACTTGATTTGAGTGGCATTGACATAGTATTGGGTGACGAAGACAGTGATAGGGAAAAAACAGACCCAGATGATGTAGAGTTTGTTGAGGCGGCCAGCGACGAGGACAGTGAAACATACAATGGCGCTCACTCCTTTTCCCCACCCCAACAGCCACACCCTCAACGAGGGCGTGGTTGTGGGTGCCGTGGTGGCCGTGGATGTATGGGATCATGTGCACGCCAGCCACAACAGTATGCTTGGAATGACTGCACTAATTTTATGGCTGATCTACCAATTTTTGATTGTGGCTTTAAAAGAAAGTGTTTTTTGCCCAAATATGCTCGTGTGGGGTTCCGGTGGGTCTTACGTCGCCTGAGGCATAAGGATTAATGAGTAAGGTGTGTACCATAGCAGTCTACATCTATTACAGCAGCAGGAATGACTGAATAAAAGCAAATGAAAGGAGAATGTCTTTATGTATTTGCTCTTGATTCCGGCCACCTTGAACTTCCCGAGGAAAAAAGCTTGAAAAAGTGAAAGTGTACAGCCACCAGCCACTCCTCGACTTACGACCGCCCCAGTCGTACCAAAAATTTTTCAAATTACATATTTTTGAGTTCCGACGTTAGTGATTGCGCTGTGTACTGACAAAATTTTCGTTTGTAATTCCCTTTAAAATGGCTAGCAAGCTTAAAAGTGAGAATTTAGTGGTGCTGAGAAGAAAAAGAGACACCTATTTTAGATTTTCTATGGAGTATCTTCGCATTTTTGACTTATGACCAATTCCACTTACGACCTGGATTTGGGTCCCTAACCCCGTCGTAAGTCGAGGAGTGGCTGTATATATACAGTGTATACCGTACATGAATATATATTCAGTACTGTACCTGCACATGCATGCAAGAATATACACATAAGAAACTCATAGTCATAGAGCACCATAATCATAACTTCAGAAAGGCTTTCTATGGTGTACGAAAAAAAGTCATATACAGTAATATAGGATTGATACTGAAATCCCATTTTCTGGCAATGCCTAAACCCAGTTAGCTTCTTGTAGTACAGGATCCCAATATGGGTGATTAGTTTATCCATGTGGATTAAATTTGCACCCCTGGATGAATAATTTAGGGGTGAATCCAGGGAGGAAAGGAGGGTCAAGAAAGACCCTCTCTTTTCATCAGAAAATTCCAATACATTTTCCTTAATGCAGGATTGTACTCAGGCATTTTTAATGGCAAAAAGTAATTACTCAGAATATTTCTTAATATCAAGTGCATACAGCTTTAAAATGCCCATGATATTGATCAGATTAAAAAAAAAATCGGAGGGGGGTGTTACTGTAAGCCCCCCCCCCCTACTTGGTGGGCTCACTGTGCTTGCTATGTTTCCCCACCCACAACTTCCTGCTTCTGCCTCTGTAATTTGTGGGTTGTCTGAAGACAATGAACACCCCAATTAGTAGTCTGTATTATCAGAAGCCACCTGACAGAAGGCTCAAACCACAAAGTGAACATTTTGCAAAGTTATCTAAGCCTGGTGATCACAAAGCTTATCTGTATTAATCTTCAATGGCAACCAAAGGCCTTCATGCCACCCAATCAAAAGTGTGCAGATTTCAATTACCTTCCTAATTCTCACTTAACCCTCCTTTATTCTACTTAATGCAATGTTCAACTTCTCCACTCATGATGTAGCCAGTCTTCCTCGACTTAACCCATTACAGAGTCTTCTACATAACCTCTTTTGTCATCCTATCCTCTGGCATCCTTTTCATTTCTCTATACAACCTCATTTCTTTAACTGTTAAGCCTTATCTAATTGAATTTCCCTTTTAATAACAGCAAAGAATTTGTCCTGACATTGCTATTAAAAAAAAAAAAAACCCTGCTCTGGTCTTAAAAAAAAAAAACCTGTTCTGGTCTAGGAAAATAAACTTAAGTGCAAAAATACTTCAATGTGCATTAAATAATTCTTAAGAAACTCTCTTAAATTGGTAATACAGTATATTAATATTTTGTTTCATCTAACACTTGAAGAAAAAAGTTCAGTTAACCATGTACATTTGTTAGCTTTGCATACTCCATGAAATAAATAATTTATACAGCTGCAGTACGGACATAAAAGCATACATAAATTCTGCATGATGTATAAATTTTCAACACATATCTGTTGACAAACTTGATCTTACTGGATGACCAGACGATCAGCGACCGAGTCGTCATTTTCTATGTAGTTGTCTTCAGCTAACTGTCTGAAGTGTGCTGAATTCTTGAACACAGAGTAAAGTGTGAATAGCACATGTAAAGACTGAATCCTGCTCTTGTATACAGGAATGTCTAGAGTAGCTGGAAAAAAAAGGTATTAGAATGATCTCATCAATATGTAGCAAGGAACATGCAATAGAAGATGAACTAGCATCAATTTAGACTATACCAACAATTAAATCATTGCAAATACCATGCTACTTTATCTATTCATCCCATTACTGGCATAGAAAGGGTACCAGCCCAGAAAAGGCAGCAAAGACCAAGGAATGGGCACAGCTTTGGTGACCCAGTTATCATCAGGCATGTTAAAGTAAAGTTTTAAGGCTGGATGCCCTTTCTAATGCTACTGGAGGTAATCAAAGACTACCCACCAACCATTTAAAATTAAAATAGTTTTCTCTTCTAAAATGAGGGTAATGGCGTTAGTGTTGGACGTAGGAGAGGGCATGGGTGGTGGTGGCAAGGCCACAGGTTAATGTGATAGTTAAGTCTTGCAAGAAATTACAGTAGATCCTCTATACACTGGACTTCAATACACCAAATTTTGCTTTTTTTTGACTCTCTAAGGTGCTCAAGACCGCCCATCTATTCACCAGATATATTGAAAAAAAGTCCAGAAAATCCAACATCAGTCTGGCAAGTACTGGGCATGCACTGGCTCCTGAATGTATCTGAACCTGCTCCACCGTTGGTCAAGTCTGGTCTTGAAACAGCTCACACTCGGTGCCGTCACAACACTCTCTGGCAGATTGTTCCAAGAGTTCACAATTCTCACTCGGAAAAAGTTTGCCCTCACAGTTTTCTGGACTTGTGGCTTCTTCAACCTTGAGGTGTGACCCCTGTGGTGCACTGCATCTCACTACCTACGCTCATTTATGTGAACTTTTTATGTAGAGTACGTATTGTCTTTAACAGGGATACTTAAAGGTTTTACGAAATGGATAAAATTATGTAGAGTCCTGTCTGTATTGTAAGAAATCAGCAACAATATGTAGAATAATAATTTCAAGAAATAGGTATTAAGTAAAAGAACTAATACACTGCTTATGTAAACAGGCTTGGGGCGGCGGGGGGGCCCAGGTACAGTATTGTCACATTCGCCAGGTTTATTTACTGGTCTAATATTATATTCCCAGATGATCAACATCTTACAGTATAGTGTATGAGTCATCACAATTAATACAACACCTTTAATAATAGAAAACGGACAAAATATAATTTCTAATTTGACTTGAAAATAAAAGGATGAGGTGTATCAGAAGTTATTCACTCAGGATATGTTCCTGAGTTCAGCGAATTAGGTGACAACAGGCTCATTATAACATGCTATATAGTATTTGATATAGCGATATCTTCCTCATAACATTATTTTTACGTTTGAGTGATACATGATGGCTCAATTTGGCTACGTGTGCACTTAGACTACTGATTGATGAAAAAAACAGGGAATATGCAGATGCATAATACACTCCAGTACAGTATAATTTATTAAGTGTTGATAAATACACTACAATATTATTTTTTCTTAAGTGCCAAAGACAGATGCTGTGGTAAGCATGAGAAATAAGGAGCACTGTTAACATGGTGAGGGAGAGGAGCAATCAACTATTCATGCTTTGTAAACAAGAAATTCAATACGACGCAATGATTCATCTGGAATTGAGTGTAGGATTCTTTTCTTTGGGGAAAGTTGATTAGTTCATGATAATTTTATAACAACCCAGCACCAAATGAACCTAAAAATATAGGAATTCTGGTAAAATTACATAAAGACACGTTAAAGCAGTCCTGGGGGAGGGAGCCACTCACCCGCATTACCTCCCGCCTGCTGCTCCCGAATACACTTTCAACTCCCAGTTTTTTCTTTAACTATAAGGCACACGAGCACATTGAAATGATGTTTCCACAAACTCTGTGGATACCAGTACTTACAAATAACACTACAGTATGAAAGAGTCATATCAGTGAAAACAGTTATCGACAACCAGACTTATGTCTGATTAAACAGTCCAGAGAAGCAGGGTTACATCCACTCCCTCGATAGATTCGCTTTTCCCAGACTAGGGTCTGCCTCAATTAGTCCGGTGTATCGAGGTACTACTGTACAGTATATACTTGGGGACCTTTGATATCTCAATTCAATTTTAACTGAGAATGAAAGGAAATACAATATAATTATCATTAATAATACAAACCACAAATAATGTCGACATAGGCAGAAAGTTCAAGCTCTAAGGCAGCAGTTGGTAAATTGACTTCTTTCAGAAGTTCTTCAACTTCCCCAGGCCACTCCTGCATTAGGTTGTCAATGTCTGGCATACGTCTGAAAAGGAAACAAATTACTGTCATTCTTGCTGTGGCCTTCGTAAGCCAAAAATATACAAATTAGTACCCTAGAATTTTTGGATATTTACAGTATTCATATCAGAAAAGGAAGAAACTGCAATGTGTTAGGTGAAGAGAATAAAGAAATATATAAATAAGGAGATGAGGAAGAGAAAGAAATGTTGGAGAGCAAGTATTTAAGGGTTTGCTTGGGTGGTATGGACTTATTGAGAGAATGAGAAATGAAAGATTGATATACAGTAGTTTATAATTCAGAGAGAGATGCAAGAGGAAGGGGAGAACACCAAGAAGGAGAATAAGAGGAAAAGATGATGAGAAAGGTTACAAATATTCAGTGAAGGGAGTAGTTATTCAACAAGCAGCAGTGTACGGTACATGGACAAGCAAAGTGCAATGCTCTGAGTAGTTTATGAGGATGTTTGGAGCTAGATCCCCAGCAGTAAGAGGACAGTGAATGAAGGGAGAGTTTGTTTCTGCTCTTCATGCTGGCTACCTGCACCAGAATGAGAAAAAGATTGCAAGAGTAACATATTTGTTTATAAGATTCTTATGGTTTGAATACTGTAGTTCAAGAATAGCTGCAGACAACTACATTGAGGACTTAACTAATTTAACACTTACTTGCTGTAATGAACAGTTGGAGGAGGTTTAGTTCTATGTAATTCACTTATGTCCCTCACCCATTTCTCAACCACTTTTCCATTCTTCTCTGCATTTTCAACTGTTTTCACCGACTGTAAGTGAAATATTGGTGTTATCCTTATAAATGAACATTTTAGTAAACTGGTAGACCAAGGCATGCCAATCTCTGATGCAGTACAGTATAAGTGGAATATGATACGCTCCATTAATAAATGTGGGATGCAGCACATTTCAGTGACATTAAAGGAGTATGGAAAGTTTTTAACTAGTAAAGGACAAAAAAATATCCATGAAAATTTCCTACTCAGGATTTTCCTAAATAGATTTTGATCCTGCATATAACAAGATCTGAAAATGATCACTACAGCACACCTAGTTTTATCAACTTTCAAGCTTGATCTTTCTTCAAGTTTTGTTTACCTGAACCTATATTGCACTGCAAGGCTGTGTAAAGGTATTA